TTTTTGCTCATAATGGAAAATCAAGCAAATTTTATGCTCAAAAACCGGAGTATAGAGGACAGCATGGCCGAACAGACTAATGAATTGATTAAATTATTGGGGACTACAAAGTAAACAATTTGGGTGGCCATTGCATATGATTGGCTAAATGCCCCCCCCTTTACTACAGGGATCATTTCACCGTAAACTGGAGTACGGACGCACTGAGTAGTAGCGATTGGAAAGAGCCTAACCATCATGATTCACGAAGGCAATTAAATTGTCGACTGGACGCCTGATCGGCAGTAAAAATTTCAATACGTCGTAGGCTTGGAATTTATTCCCCTTTGCTTGGGTCACATGGTTCTTCGCCATTTAATAATGCTGGATTTATCAATCGCTCATGGTGAGGCTGTCAGGAGACGAGCTCTGCTATTAGTAGCGAGGGTGTCGATCGTCCCAACATGAACATACCCCACAATTCGTTTGAATTTTCCAAGAAATCAGCCTTCCATAGGCACTTCCAAACTCATACGTAATGAGACTCAATCACTCCACAAGGACTAGTCCTGCGGTGTTCGAGGACTACATGGTGTGACCCTGGCCGTCCCAAATAAACCGCACCCTTGTAACAGCTAGACCAAATGGAAGCATTAAGAAGACATTATACAGATAAAAATAACCATAATTGTCCTATCTATTATAATTCTATCATTTTAAGCCGTGACATATAAAATTATTGAGGCCTAGGGAGCTAGGCACCTTGCACATGGGCCTGGGCATGGCTAATCAGATGTAATAGCATGTACTCTACCAAAATCATTTCGAAGGTCATTTCGCGCCTACAACGGGGGGGCTAAAAAAGGTCCCATCTAGCTAGAGAGGGGGCTAAAGAATCCATGTTCATTGCTAGCGTATTGCCCTATCTAGGTGGCATCGGGAGAGCATAAATCAAAAGCGGGCAACAGACACCTCAGCTTGCGGGTGTCATATGATTACACCATGGATGAGCCCTATACATATGCCAAGAAGCCGAGAGATTTGGAATAATGAGCTGTCGTTTCCCTGCATATTCCACTTAGGCCGATAGGCCAGCCACGTAGGCATGCCGATCTTCCGTACTCCACCCGACCTGCGACACAAGCCCCAGAAATGCATGTAACCCCAAGTTTTTTTTTTTACGTACTGCTTAGCCCGATGGTTTCCGACGGTCATTATGCGACAACCCGATGCGTGAGCTAGCTCAATGGTCTAGATCAACGACCATTGGTATGGAAAAGGGAGGGTTTCGGGAAAAAGGGAAAAATTGAGATTCAGAATCACACTATCAATTTTACAGTTATTCTCGAAATCGACTTGACTAATACATTTGACAATTATTTTCTGGACCGCCCCTAGTGCAGATCAAATTTTGAGCGGGCCGCATTTACCAGATACCGTAATATGCGGCTTGTACGGTTACGGTAGAGTAACCGTTAACGTTTGTTATTTTGACGGTTGGCCAGGACCGAGTTCCCAAGAGGCATATCGTGGAACATTACGTCGCAAGATACAGGACTGTACAAGGGGTATCTTACTACGGCCCTCATTTTAATGCGGCCCGCTCCATGAAAGATTCACGCTAAGGCTTAGGTGATGGCTGCAAGTTCGTTATCCACCTTGTATTGGTCAAGCCGATTTCGAGAATGACTGCAGACACCCTCCAGCAATGGGCAAACACCTTTACTTGGTGCTGGGGACAAGTACTCAAGCGGTGGTGCAGCCACTGCCTGGAGAAACCAAGATCTGCTCGGATGACGAATAGCAACCGCGGGGTATCGCACAAATCCACCCATCTAAACGACGACATAGCCAAGGTGTCCGCCGCCACCCTGCCTTGCTAAAGTCGAATATCTCGGGATCTCACATGCGTTCTCATGTGGGTGGTAGCTAGGCCTTGCCCTCAGCCTATCGTGCTACCAACGCGTAAACCGAACCGACATCGCTACACTGCCTCGTGTTTTGCAAGCCTTTCCAACGAGACCGTGAAGTGGCTAATGTATTACAGAGCCTCACCGCGCCATGAACGATTCGTGGGCCACCGATTACGATCGTATCCCCCTCAAGTGACCTCTAGTGGACCGCACCTGCGGTATAACATCGGGATTCGATAAATCAGAACTCAACTTCTTGAGTGTTCAATATTCAACGCACTTGATCTACTGTCAACATCATTTTCTTGAACGGATGATGTCATTGCTTTGGGTCCGAACTTGCTTTCCCGTTACGCATCAATAATTCGATCTGCAGTTGCTGCAACGTGTTTCCAAGGGTTCGTGCCCATCGGAGGTGAGTTCCAACCGTGATGACCACCTCGGAAACGCACTTTGGACCCGTGCTCTCGCATCTTGAGCTCTCATAGTTTGTCACCTCTTGTTTTCATGTTTTCATCTCTTGTTTTGCTCCATGTTTCATGAGCCCCCCCACAGCCACGCCATCCGGGCGGTCTAGTATCGCCAATTGCAATGCCACAGCAGGCCTTGGAGAGGCTCTAAGTTCGTCTAAGAAATGGTACAGCGATTTTCGAAAACAGTTTACCCCTTAGACACTCACACGTTGTTTCTCGGCCCGTATCTAAAACCGGCTTAATCCTCATTAGGACAAGTGGTAAGACTCTATCCACTTATAGATCAGTTTCATTCGGCGAGCTAGCCAAGTCTGGCCTAGCGTTGTCTCGGGTACGGGCCGAGAAACAACGTGTGAGTGTCTAAGGGGTAAACTGTTTTCGAAAATCGCTGTATCAAAACCAGCTCGTGTATATATTAATCGACAATCATTGTTAATCTGAATCTGGGAACTAATACATTGATCCTGGAAACGCCAAAAGCTATTCTCGGAGCTGTTTATGCTCTGGGAATCCCTCCTTAGGCCATTTCCTGTTTCTAGGAAGTAACTTCTACCCCTGGGATCGTCACTCTATTATCCCGAGTGAATATTGCGCTCCTGAGACCCTACTTCTGAATCCTAAATTCAATATTCTGCCTTCTGAGGTCGCGAAAAGCCCTCACAAATGTCTTCGCCGGACCTGCGCACAAATATGAGTCATTCGACCACTCCCAGAAGGCTTAGCCATAGGCCGAGGAACCGCACTTGGGGTTCCAGGAGTTGATAAGACCGTCAACAGGAACATGACTTTGGTTCCTCGAGGTGGAGGCACAAGACCCCAGAAACTACGTCGGGTTTCCCGGGGGCTATGTGGCTCCTAGAAGTTGTTTCTTTGCTCCCAGAAACGGCACTAAAGTTTCCAGGAGCAACAGAGCTCCCAGGGCCAAGATGTGCATTCCCAAGGCTGGTAGGGCTGTCAACAAGAACGTGACTGATTTTGTGAGAGTGGGAATGGATAGTCTACAAGTTACGTACGATGTTCTGGGGCTATGTGATTCCTGGGCAGCTCACATGTTTCCGAAGTCGGCTTTTGAAGTCTTCACGACCAGCAAGGTTGATGGATATTTATGCAGAGCAGGTCGTCAACTATCACATATCTGCTACATCTAGCCACTCAGCATACTGCTCCAATATTGGCCACGATCGGTTGGCTAGTCAGATCAAGCGATGAAAATGCTTTGATTGCGATCAGGAAATTCAATTGGTGGATTGGCTTAGTAATTATGAACTGTAGTAAAGTCGATTCCTCTGCATGACGCTGCCCGTTGCATCTCTCTAATGTTTTTTTAATCCACCTTCCTCTCTCATTCTTCGAAAACCATCATCAAAAGCGATTGTTTCTATTCGTAATTCCCGCTGACTCGTTCTTCACACCCCTACCCAAGGAGGCAGTTGGAACCGCCTCTTTGACGGTTTTGTGGCTCGGTGCGCGTACTCTGCTAGTGACCGCGTAAGCCACATGCGGCAAAACACACGAGAGACCTGATGACCAGTAGAGATCCGAAAGCGGCCTGGCCAACGGCTCCATAATACATAATATTGTAGTATGGAAAGTGGCCATCACGGTCAAAAAACTCGAAGGATGTCTGAAAGCCCTGGACGTGGCTGGCAACATAACCCCCTAAGGAGAGAACGATCAAGCTCACGACGATTTGAATGCAACTGTAGTATAACCTAGCGGCGCAGTTCTCTTGTAGCCACTTTGGGTAGATCACAAGGGCAAACCCGAAGGTGGAAATCAGGGCTGAGACCAGGGCCACAATCACCATGCCCTCGACAACGTTGTCCATGAGGTTTTGGAATGTGATGTCCAGAATAGAGTCGCTCGAGGTGACGAGCTCCGATCTTGCACGGTCTCGAAGGACGACCGCAAAGCGCGCAGTGGCCGAGCTGAGACTGGCAAGGGCCAGCCATGTGATGGTAAGGAAAATGATGACGAGACGCATCCGAATCAATGCCGCGGCAGTACTCAGAGGCATTTTGTGTTCGCAACAACAGATTCATAGATTGTAAGAAGGTGAGGCAGGTCTCAGCCAAGGGAACAGTTGAACAAAGCAAAGAATAGCAGCAGAAAGATGTAGCAGGTCAATCTCCGGGCACCGTGAATTTATATGTGCTCTTCACACAATTGATGCCTCAGCAAAGAACAGCTCAGCTGATAGTGAGCCGCGCCAGATGCCTTTTTCATGCTTTGCTGCCTAGTGGCAATCCTTATAGGCCTTTCTCGGTACAATGGCTCAACTAGAAGCACTAATTCTATCCTTGAGATCGACGGCCACAGAAACCGTCTCCGATCTCGTGGTAGTAAAGCAGCTCCTGGAATCACCCTGTGAGCTCCTGGGGCCTGCTGCCTTTTTAAAAACTTGCGTCAGGAATTCATGGAATGGATTGGTCGCTGCACATAGCCATATCAGGGCACCTTATGGAAGAACATTTGACCCGGACGCGATGTCGTGAGTGTAGAAACACATAAATACATGTACCCCATCCTACCCTTTGCATATCTTCTATCCGTGATATCACACGACACTTGCTCCCACTGAGTGATCTATCATTCCTTGACACCAGAATCCAACTGCTTGTGTTCTCAATTGACAATGTCGTTCGATTTTACTTCAAACAACCATTACGTCCAGATGGGAGTCAACCACGGTAACATCTATACGTGTACCGACCCGATTTCAGTCACTTATTCGCAAGACACCCCGACACCCAATGTGGGCGGCAAAATTGATTCTGCCACTAAAGTAGCTCTGTTGCAGGCTCTGGTCAAAGCTCGAAGATGCCTTGACATGGTTCAGCACGCAGTGTCTCAAAATACCCAGACTGCTGGGGCTGCGGAGCGCCTGAGCAGCCTTCTTCTGGACATCAAAGAACTCGACCCTGAATAGTGGGGCTCCCTGGATAACGGGGTTATAACCACTGTCTTTTCACTTCTGTACTGCTGCATCATGGAATGCTACGAGCTCGGACCTACTCCGCTGGCAATCTTGTCTCTAGGCAATCAACTTGACGCCTGCAACTTGGCTCTTCAATGCGTGTATGGCGCAGCTATGATGTATGTTTCAATTTATCTATCTGATGTTAACAGTTTGAATATTCTCACAAGATCGGTGTTCTAGGGATCATGATGACAGAAGATGGGTATCCTCACGGCAACAGAAAGTCACGGAGGCCATCGAGAAAATGGACAACCTAAGAGTCAAGTATTTGAACGAAGTGAAGCAACCCGAGGCGGCCATATACCATTCTCAGGCGATTCTTGATTTATTGAAGAAAAATCGGGAGCAAGATCGTGCACCGAGATTTGGGGGCATGCATGTGCGCTTCGGCGGAGAAAACCGTGGTATTCAAGCCGCTGAGTATCATGGAAACATGGGAAGCTTTACCTTTTCTATCTAGATTTGAATAACCTTGGCGATATGTTCATGTTTAAAATGTATCTGGATAAATCTAATTTGCTATTTATATGGCCGGGCGTAGAAAGCACAACCCCGCCAAAATTTTACTTTCTCCATCATCTCATCCTTGAAAGAAAAGACTGCCAAGTAAACCCCATATTAGACCCAAATAGCCCTGAAATTTGTTTCTTCTAGAGACAGTGATGGGTAGGCGTCTTTCTGGCACCGATTAGAGGGTGGCTGGAGCGAACCACCGAGATAAAACTCCTGTAGGTCCTATACGTAGTGAACTACAGAGTACGGCGAATCACGAATCACTAACACTAGATACGTTCAAGCTAAATGAGAATCTTCCTACTTGTTCACATTAGTAGGATAGTAATTTGATAAGTACAGTACCTGCAACTCTGGAGGCCTCAAAGCGGGGACCACGAAGCAGGCCTTGCAAAGCCTCGTAGGCGCAGCTGGGCTTGACGCAGTTCGACTCATTAGAAATCCCGTTTTATCTACTATAGCGAAGACTGGTTGCTTTCAGCGCCACCGTTCCATTTCTTAGTATGAGATGTACTATGTACATGGTTTGGCCGAGTGGCAGATGCAGGAAATGAAAAGTGGCCAGCAATAGATGCGGCCTTGGCTCTTAGCGCATTCTGTCAGGCTTACGAGAGTTGATTTGCTCGGTGTGTATCTTGATCAGGGTCTGAACCTCACAAATCCTTGAAGCCAGCAATTAAACACAAAAAATGATGGCAAAAACGAAGGCTTGGTTTTCAACAGGCCTCAGTTAGGATAGGCAACCGTGCCCTTCATTTTCTGCTCTTCACCAGATCTTCTAGGTGACCGGGCAAGCTTGGAAAACTGATCATAAATATCTCCAGACCCTACGTATTTCCTAGAGTGATAGCCTTCTAGCGACCTAAACAGTCAAGAAGGCCTTGTGTTTGAGGCGACTTGATATTGTCTTCCTCTTTGATAAGTCCACTTTTCTAAATCTTGGCGAGCTTCTCATTGATCCTTGGCCAAGTCCGTTTGAGACCTTCTTCACGTTCTCTCGAGATCTATCCCTCCACGCCCGATTGCCTCGATGAGGATGGAACCCATTCCTGCCTGTTCAGACATTGGCCCCGAGTTTGACCGTCTGAAGGCCGTCAGCGAAATCTCTCTCAATGCAAAGCTTGTGGCCTTTGTCGAAAAGGCTCACTCGTCGCTTCAGTCACGAGGACGTTTCAAGCAACGGGATTGTTACAAGAGATACAAATATCAAGGAGTTTCTTTCGCCACAACTACATCCCACGTTGGGGCTACTTTTGAAATATGAGTCATGGGTATGGGTATGACGTCATATATGTATCACATTGATCCTTGTGTCGGAACGTGGTCGTTACAGTGCAGACTAGTACGGACATAGCCAATTGAGTACTTGAGAGTGTGATTCTTATATACTATAGAAAGTGCAGAATAAATAGGGGATGAGCTTAGTATGGTCGTTGAGAGCCTCAGAATCATCAGGCAGAGGGGGTGCTGAATATTCCTCGGGCGCGCTAGTAACATTGCGACCCTCTTTTGTTGACATAACCCATTACCCCATGGGCCGATCTCGACACAGGTGTCATGAAGCAGCGGGCTCGTGAAGGCTACGACTCAATAGTAAACAGCCGGGGCCTACAAGCACAAATATCCTTCGGCGGAGATTCTTTGCTCACTAATTTTCAACTCTCATTGATTTGAACTGTCAATGGGATTTCGGATTGATGGCTAATGGAGAAATGTGCAGGCGCCAGCCACATTTGGAATGATTTAGTAGGGCTGTTGCGAATATTCGAAGTTACCAATATTATCGGGTATCTTGTCGACAGCTCAAAAACCTCGCCGATTATTATCGGCAGCGATAAGATATCCGATAATTATCGGCAAGCTATCACGTGTCGTCCGAGCTCAATCGAAATAGGTCTAGTTGTAAACAAATTAGGACTAGTCTGCGGATCCTTCTCAATACTATCATTAGTTCCACTTTCCCCCTCATATTTTAACCATACAGACCCGTGTGGGCCTGATCTAGCCTGATTTTCCCGCATAATCTGTTGATTCATTTTTGTTACTTACTGTCACGGACATGTAGTCACCAATCAGTTGCGGGGAGCGCAACCTGACAATGGGCCATCGAGCGCCAACCACTTTTACGTCAGCCACAGTCACATGGACGCAGATCAGAAAGTCGTGGTCTTTCCGTCGTACCCTTCCGATATGGAACAACGGGAAGTCCAGTGGACATGGGCTGTGCCACAGGGAAGCCATATCCGCAAGACATCACGGTTCCTACGACAAGGCTTGTCGCAGGAAGACCCTCGTCGCAAGGCGGTTCCCATGATCCCATCACAAGAACGACTTGGCGAAACCACGTGACCAAACACGTCCTACGTAGACCTCGCCAAACGCGGGTTTGGGTTGGGTTTTCAATTTCCTTACCCGCCCATGGGCAACCCACCGCGGGTTTTGGCCTTGATGAACCCGCCCATGGGCTCTTGGCGGGTACCCGCGGGTTGCCCAAAATACCCAAAAACATGCATAAATCGTGGATAAACTTGATTAGTCATCTGGTGTAATTTTGGTCATTTATTTCTGTAACGCTTTTGAGTGGATATTACACTGAAACTATGAACGCCATCGACCTGGAAATATATATTCTCTAAATGTAGATCACTGCCCCCATCGCCCTGCTTTACACATCTGAAGGGATTACAGGCCACATTGATGATTTTATGTAAATTCATCAATTGAGAATCTTTCGAGTGAGCTCAAAAATATTATCCTTAGTTCGATCATTTAAAATCAGTGTTTTGGACCTTCTCAGTGTCCTCCCAAAGTCGTATTCATCTCCGGGCGGGTTGGGTTGGGTTGGGTTTTGGGTACCCGCGGGTTTTACGCGACTCAGGAATAGATAGATCCAAACGCACGACGCGACTGGAACAAAATCCACAATCAAGTACTCAAGATGAAAAAAATCCCCCCTTCTTCCAATACCAGTGGCCTTTTACTTCAGTATGGCGTCTTCTTCCTCATCATCGCGATCAATACATCGGCCTTTCAGTCCACTGCTCTCCATTGAGCCGTCATCTGACGGCTTCTTGGATTCTGACATTCAATCCCCCGTAAGAAAATGGTCCTTTCCACTAGCCTCTGAGTGTTGCGGCGCTACCTACTTGTATACTAAGATGGACCGCAGCCTTTGACAGGACCCCGCAAAACGTACGACATAACTACTCGAAGACCTCCAGCGACACTCCGACGTGTGGGACCTCAGCACAGAAAGAAATGGATTGCGTACGAGTCGCATCTAGAGACAGAGTTTCTTGAATGGTGGAAGGAAACAGAATACGGCCAAAAGCTGAACGGAGAAGGCCAATCCCAGATCAAATGGTCCACCGGATCGCGTCACGCTGATGTGTGGAAACACTTTGACCAGGTGGCTGATATTGATTCTGGGCGTCCTCGAGTCATCTGCCAGGCTTGTCTCACTGTGCTTGATCATCCACAGTATAAAGGGAATGGGACAAGCGCCATGAGTAGACACAAAAAGTCTAATACTTGTCGTAAAGGGAAGAAAAAGGGATTTAATCAGTCATTGATTTCGGATTCTTTGCAGAACCATTTCACGAGAGACTCACCCAGTGTCCACAGAGTGACAACATTTCAAATCGAGGAGCAGATATTGAAGACAATTACGTGTCTTCGTTTGCCTTTCCAGACGGTGGAGAACCCGGTGTTTCAGAGGCTACTCAGCCTTTTATATTCTGGTCCCGGAGAATTGGAACTTCCGTCAGCGAAGACCCTGCGGAGGCGGCTCCGGGATGCAGTCAATTGCCAGCAAGAGTTACAGTTACAAGATCTGCCTGAAGATGCCAAGGTTTCCCTCGCTTTAGATTGTTGGACCAGTCCATTTCAGCAGGCATTCATGGCAATCACGGTTTATTTCATCGACAAAGATTGGAACTATAGGGAAATGCTCCTCGGCTTTGAGCCGTTGCACGGTCCTCATACAGGCAACAACCTTAGTGATGTTTTGCACCGGTTACTGGAGGAACGAAAACTTCTCGATCGTATTTTTAGCGTTACTACAGACAACGCTACCAACAACGACACCATGATACGCGCCTTGCAAGAGAGACTGCTCTCTATCGGAGCTATTAGCTCCAGGGAATCAATAGTCCGGGTTCCCTGCATGGCTCATGTGATCCAGCTTTGCCTGAAACAGCTACTGGGACATATCAGGGCAGCACCTAAGAATAAAGAAGTCAGAGCCTTTTGGTCCGACACCCAAGCCCACGGGTTGAAGGATTCGATCAACTATGGAGACGTGGCTCATACACTGACAAAGGTGAGCCAAGATATTCACTTTTTCAATATACTCAGAGCACTGACAGCATTAGATTCGATCCTTTGCGATCTTTGTCAACGCAAGCCCACAACGGCGTGATGCTTTTTTATGCCTCCAATCAGGTGGTACTCGGCTTTTTCCGTTACATGACGTTCAGACACGCTGGAATTCAACTTTTTTGATGCTTCGCCGAGCACGCCGGCTGAGAAATGTAATCGACAAATACTGCTGCGATCATGAATACTCGCAGCTCAAGGTTACCGACGTTGAATGGAGGCAAATTGACTACCTCGTTCATTTGACCAAACCGTTTTTTCAGTTCACCATGGCTCTGATGAAGACCAGAGACGTCACAATCCATAGTGTGTTCCTTGTGTATAGGAAACTACTGGAGCATATCGAACGGTCGAATCGAAGATTGAAGAGAAAGACAACACCCTGGAAGAAAGACATGTATGGCGCGTTGCTTGTGGCGAGGCAGAAGCTGAAAGAGTACTACGAAAAAACCTACCGCGACCACGGTTTTCTCTATGGCACTGGAACATTACTTGCCCCTCAGTATAAACTGAGTGCTTTTGATGATCGAGAGTACTCAACTTGCCATGAAGATACGTCAAAAAGGTACTGTGAATATTTGAGAGCATCTTTCACACAGTATCAGCAGCAGAACCCCGAGTTGCTATTCCGTACGGTCCAGCGATCTTCCAATTCGCATAGCACAGAGCTTGATCGGCTACTCGAGCCACCTGGTGCAGCGATTTTCCATGAAGGAGTAGAGTATGACGAAGTGGACCAGTATCTTCGCGAAGGCACGAGCAATCAGTACAACACACTAGAACAACTGACTGACCTCGAATAGCCAATGTCCCTGTGTCGCCGCGACTTTATTGGAAAGAACACGAGCGCGAATTCCCAGTGCTGTCTCGGCTCGCACGAGACTTGCTTTCAGTCCCTGCCACCGGCGCGGGTGTAGAAAGGCTCTTCAATAGCGCACGAGACATTTGTCATTATCGCCGAGGGTCTCTTCACGAAGGGACTATTCAAGACTTGATGATGTACATGTGCTCAGAAAAGCTCACACTAGAGGGACAGCAATTGATTCGTCTGGAGAAACCGTTGGAGAGCGAGAGCCAAGAGGCACTTGAAGAGGATGAAGCGTTGAAGGCAATCGAAGAGGATGCAGAGCCGATCAGCGACAATGAGGAGATTGAAGAGAGCGAGAATCTCGAGGGTAACTCTGAGCCAGAGGGGACATACCAAGTGGAGTGTACGGTGGTAGAGACCGGCCGGAGCTCTATACACAGACATATTCACGAACCTGAACAAGAAGAAGAGAGTATGGAGGAAGACGTGGTTGATTACGACGAAGCAGATTTACTTCCGCCTCCAATCATGCAATTGAGTGATAGAAGCCAGAAGAGATCTTCTGGTCGGGTAACAATGCCCTCCAGCAGACTGCGAGGTTACGAGGTATACTAGTCTTTAATAATTAGCCAATTTGATTTTTACAAGCCCTTCATGTTCCTTTCCAAATATTCTCAGCTAGAAGCTAGTAGTTACGCCATCGAAACAATTAGATAATCGAAAATTACTGCATAACTTAGTGTAAAATGATCAGTCAGCTTTTTTTGCTTTTTTGGGTAATCGCGGGTACCCATTTGGGTCTTGGGTTGGGTTTCCCGGATGACAACCCGCCCCCGGGTTTGCTGACTAAGACCCAACCCGGCCCATGGGCTGGGTTTTCGCGGGCGGGTTTGGGCGGTGGGCGGGTTTTGGCGAGGCCTAGTCCTACGATAGGATTTGGCGCAGGGCACTATAGTTCTTGGGGGTAGCCCATAACTACACGTGACCCATCCTACGAGAGGATAGGAAGAGCTTGGATATATAAGGACGCTCATTTCATGTATCTGTTTAGTTCTTCGTCTTCAATCATACATTGTTACTTGAGTATACCTTTGATTACTTAGACTCTTTATTTGATTATAACGCGACAACCTCGACGAATCGATCAACACCCCGGTTTAGATCTATTCGGCGCTCTACCTGGCATCGCTCCTCGATACCCTCAAAAGGACTTAGCCCGTATAAGGCCTGTTAGGCAACGGTACAGTTGAGAGACAGATCGTTGAGTATTGATAACTATGTTGACTTTAGATACAAGACGTAACGCGAGGAAGCAAAGGAATGGTAGCTTCCTCGCGTTCAGAGGAAGCCATATACACTATGTGGGTTCCGCAGATCACCCCTGGTGACCGACTGACAGCGCTTCACAGCTGTTGATTTGTACAGGCATTGCTGTGAAATTGAGCTAATCCGGAAGGTCATGGAAATTCAGTCATGGAGTGGCTCGTACCAGAAAAACCACGTTAGACTTACAAAGCCACGACTGGTGGATGGACCTGGCTCACGCGACCATGGTCGCCTTTTCGAAAACTCCTTCACCCGCTGGGACCAAGCTCCATGCAGTTTTCGGCCAATTTCTCGTAGGCTTTGAAATTTGATCCTTTTGGCATCTCTCAAACAATTTCTCTCGTCCGCTTTCTTTTGATGATTTTGTACCGAGGCCCACGTTGAGAAGTGCTATTGGGTAAAGGCGATGAGAGTGAAGGGCTGTGGCTCATTTCCCGAGCCGGTCGTATGAGGCTGGGCTGACCGCGACTAAAGGATTCATGATGGAAGGCGCCCCCGACCTTATGAAATCCAAAGTAATAAAGCCGCCGAACAAGAGATTGGTGGCTTTTAGAGGACATCCTTGAAAGTATATGCGCAGGAAATTTGCTTTCTGGGGCGACGAAGAAAGATTGCCCATTCTCTGACCAACGCATTGCCTCCCCATTCGTCGAATCATCAAGGATTCTATAATATATTAATTCACAAGGTAACAGTATTGATGTTCCAATGGATGCTTCACTTACTCGCTCAGGCTCTGAATGAAGTCGGATGCGTGTAGCCTGAATCCTGGTGTTGCATTGTTCTCAACGGGACCTTCTGGTAGAGCTGGATCATTCAGTTCTTCATTAACCGTTTGACCCGACCAGGCATTGCTAGCATGCTGGATAGTCGTAGTGTTGGATGGTGAATCTTGATAACCCGAGCTTTCATATTCTGCCGAGGCAACAGGGCTAAAAAAGGCTTCATTTGGAACAGAGGATTGAGCAACGTCAAATGATAAAGCTCCTCCCCCGTGGTTGGCGTGTTGCTTATTTTCAGAAAGTCGAGAGATCAGGTCGCGGTGATTCCGGAGACTTCGCGCAACAAGCGAAATTTGTTCCAAGACTACATTGCTCGGCCTTAGCTTCCTTTACAACATCGCAGGTCAAATCGTTAGGCACTCACCTTCCCCTATTACTTTCCGAGCATCAACAAGCTCCTGCAATACCGTGTCGTTTGATTGGAGCTCCTTCATGCAATCGTCTTTATCTGGCCAAGGGAAGAGAAATCGCCAAGGCCTACCAGATCGTAAAAGTTTGAGATCATTTTCTGATAGCTCAACGCTAGAATTCCCAATCTTAAGATGCGCTAGGCCCTCAAACTGGGGACCCGCAAACAGAACAAGCTTCGTCCAGGTCAACGGTGGTCCTTCCCTCACGGGCGGTGTGGCAATCGAGAAAAGGCTCTCTAGGCTTTTGCTCAGGCTCTTGCTAGTCAAATCCTCTCCACGACCAAAGGCAATACTGCCACCTTCGTTTAGTACTGACAAATGGTTCGACAATTCGGTTGAAAATTCGGAAATGGAGATATCGGCAAGCCTGAGAGGGCTAAGAATTTTATCATGATGTTGAGGAATAAAGTTGTTTGCTATGTTCTCAATAGTTTGGCATATTCCATCGCTGGAATCTTCGTTGGAAGGCGTGGCCATCATTTCAGGACCATAGGCTTGAGCATCCCTCGGACTCGAGGAGAAGAAAGAATAGGAGAATATGCAGTGGCGTAAATTGTTTGCAGAAGCGGGTTAAAATTCATCCGTATTACTAATTTATTGACCACAAAGGGTCTACATTCACATGTTCAGTGTGTTGCGCGACTACAATTTCTGCCCAGACAATTTCTGCCAAGTAGAAATCAAAATTGTAGCGGTGGTATGGGAAATGGCGGACAGGTTCAGGCGTCCAAGTAGACGATGTCCAGCGAAACCGGCGGGGTCTGTTCCCAGCGTTGTTGGGTTGACAATACTGTCTTCCACGAGCCTTGGCGCACGTGATCACTTGAATCAGTGGTAGCCTGTGTGTTTTCAGTCTATCAATGTAATATTGAATTTGAACGGTACATAAACTGCTATCGCTAATATGCCCCTTCTATGTCATATATAGCTCGGGCGCCATTGCCAGTCCTTTGAGTTCCTGTTTTTTAGTGACGTCACCACATCAGAACAGTACTCCTGCTCCTCTTTCTCGACATCTGGTATTTCAAGGCAATTTCACGCACCGTATATCACAAAGCGAGTCGTCACCCCCGTGTTGAACAGCGTCAATAGCATATCACATCACCAGCCGCCGTCTGTCTCGGGCTATGTCTACCTGGAAGAGACGTTGTGTCATGCAAGACGTTAATTTTATTACAATGATGCTGAGATATTTTACCAATCAGATTTGTTGACCATCCAAGCATGATCAGTTCTTGATCTGACTACCTTGCCCACTTTGGTCAATCTCAAAGTATTCTCACGTTCATTCTCACCCTTGGAGTAGCTCGATGTATGAGAAACGTCATGATCATCGACCTTTTCTGCTCATGTGCACCAAATCGGTGTTCGTGAAGACTTCAACAAGCTGATTGTGGAAACATGTGAGTCATCTAGGAACGAGAGCCACAAGAAATCGAATGTAGCTTGTGAAGCTTTTCATCTCGATTGTCCGCAAAACTTCACGTACCTGGATAGGGTCCTATCAGCCCTGTCTTGACCCTGGGAGTTCTCCTGCTCTGAAAAGCTTTGTTTCCGTTTCTGGGAGCACATGCGCCGCTTCTAGGAGCCATATAGCCCCCGGGAGACCCTACGTAGCTTCTGGGACCTTATCCCTATACCTCAGGGAATCAACGTCACGGAGGCTTGAAATTCATTCTAGGATTCAGAGATACGGTCCTGGGAGTGCAACGGCTTCCGGGTCCAGGCAATGTGTTCCCAAAGCCAGTTTGCATTCAACCAGGATCGTAGAGTGAAGATCCCAGGGGTAGATTTCGTTTTTCTGCAACTAATAATATCCCCAGGATCTCAACTGTATTTCCTAGAGAATCAAAACTTCCTAGAAATGCTTTGAGGTTCCCAGAGTCAAGCTAAATAACCAGCACAGAGGTTTGTGTCAGTGGTAGGGCTGTTCCCGATGTCGGATTTTACCGATAATTCCGATACAAACCTGTACCGATATTATCGGCCGTTAGTTATTGTCGGGATGAGGAATTGATGTAATGGCTAGTACTGAACATGTCCAATAGAATTAGGTGATTGATTGTAGGTGTTAAGGGTCAGTTGAACGATCTCAGGGGTCTGTACAAACAAGCTTCGGCGTGTTACAACACCGTACTTCCGAATGTGCCCGGAATACCGTCCGAACACTAGGGAGAATTGGGTGAACGATGAATAAGCCTGTCCCAAAGGGTCCTAGTGGTTTTGACCACTCTCTCAGTTTGTCACAATTTACCCAGTGTAGAGTAGATGGAGAGTCTAATCTGGCTAACGGAGAATCGACTAGAATAAGGCTCCGCCCGGACGTGCTCTTTCCCAGAAAAAAATCCAGATCTAAATCACAAAATACTTGCTCTAACCAAGGTGCTTCAAAGTAAGCGATCAATTGAGATACAATCTTGATGTACTGATACAATGTTATAGATGACGTTCCACTTTCTATAACACTCGCCTGTTCCAATACTACGAAGAACAACCGCGACTATGCGTCTTAATAAATATGGCCTCCTTGCAGCAGATATCTCACTCCCGCCCCCCCGAAAGAAGTAAATGGTCCGACCCACCCCTAGGTCACCGACTCCTCCGACTCTGACTTCTTGCCATTGTGCATTGAGATCTCCAGTTTCGCCAATTCCCACCAGGCTATGCAGAACCCTAGGAGTATGAGTGGAAACGTGTACCAAATATTAGGAATGAAGCACGAGAGTGTGCACAAGATGTGCTGATTGTCCGTTGAAGTTCGCAGAGCCAAAGATTCAATTTCGATGATGGGAGAATGTTAGAACTTCAGCCTCACAGCTCTGCTTTCCAGGATTTGCCACCAGTTAAAGGCTTACCTCCGGTAAACGGCTCAAAACCGGATTGCATCACACTCAACAGGTCACTTCTACCCTCGTCATGGTATGGTGCGAATGCTGCCAGATATTTGTCATGCGCTACTTGTGTACTCTTCGCGGGAGAAAGTCACGGGTCTGGTTAATACGATCTCCAGCGATCCTGAGTTTCCCTTCTAGAGCGGATTGATCGTCAGCTAGAGAAGAGGTTATTAATGAAAATTGATCTTGTTCTGATGCCAGCGATGCTCATTGGTGCGTATCTTCATGGCTTATTTACATTCCATCGCTAACACGGTACAGGTTATGGGTTGGTATACCACGACAAGGTATATTTTGGATCCAATGTGGATATAAACTTATCAGCATAATCGAGACCTCAGCTAACACGTTTTGTTCTGTCAAGGCACTTGTTGGTAACACAGCCCTTTTTGGCATGACGGCCGATCTTAAGCTCTCTGTGACCAACACCTCCATATTGAACTGGGTCACATCTATCTTCTGCTTTGGCCAACTGTCTGGTTCCTATCCAATAACATATAGACTGCAACACTTCAACAATAACCATGTCCTCGGTCCTATGTTGATGATCAGGGATATAATCTGTGCAGCCACTGCAGGCGTGACAACCTGGCAAAGACCTTTGGTCCAACGACTCTTGCTAGGAGCGAAATATCCTTTGGTATCATTTTCATTTTTGCGGGTTAAAAGAGACGGCGAATTGGTGTCAACGATGACAGCACCACTCCACTCAGCTGCCGGCTGGCCGACATGTAATGAGTTTCCGACAACGGAGCTGTGATCCATTTTGATTGAGCTGGCATCAAATGCAATATTGACAGTTATGAAGGGAGATATTAAGTGGCAGCCATGGATTTGCTACGATCTCTGGAGGGCGGAAATCTTGATGGGCATTTAAGGTTCCGACCTCGGATGACATGGGACCCGTGGACCACGTTGTAAAGAAAATAGAAGGCGCTGATCAGGGGAGAGCAACGGCTCAGTTAGCAGCTGGGTCTCTCGGTGGGTTAGGGCGGCGAGGTGATTGACTCAGCCTGTCATCCGGGAGCCGATCGCAACCCGAAGCGGCAATTTTACCATCAACATTATTACAGCTTCAATAGTCAAATGAGTGGCGAACAAGCGACAGTGACGCCTTTCTGCAGCTTTGGACTGAGGTATAAAATTCGTAAGCTTTCTGTTTCTCGTGTTCGCCAGTGGCTTTGGTGTCTAGGCCAGGCTATCAGAGCATGAGGTCATTTAGCGGTCATAGTCGAACCCCAGGCGAAACCTCGATAATTGAGAACGGGGAGAGCTGTAGCTTTTGTATAGTAGCATTTCTTCCAGCTAATGACCAATTTGCCTGTGTTTACGAAGCAAATGGCATCCATAACCACGTGAGCTAAGATGTATTTTCCTTCGAAATTGGCGGATATGGACTGATGACTTACGTAGGGTTGGCGAGTTCCAAAATTTGGTTGAGCGCAAAAGATATACAATACTGCGCTTCTTCAATCCTGATGATGGATTGCGATCGGCAGCGAAGGCTACCTACTCGCATATCACCACCGCAGTACCTGCCGACCTCTTATACGTAGTAGGTATCAACATTAAAAGATGTCCTGCTATCTGCTCGAATGCCAACGTTACTGAAGAAATGATCTTGGTCTTCAAGAACGGTAAAGAGATAGAAAGGCGTCTTGGCACTAAGCCTGATCAACTGGAATACATTGTATCCAAGACCTTATGTGGGCTGGGGGAGGCCGGTGAAGATTTCTCAGAGATCGCTTGCTTGGGAGATTGACGATTTTTAATCTTTCTCTTACCAGCAAATAGCATTTTCAAGGGTGGCAGCATGTCACATGTGCTCAGATGTGCCACTTTTTCAGCTCTTTTTCTGCCGGCATACAGATGCCATTCGGATTTACACCTTTTTTCTCTATACCAGATAATAAATAATATGTGTTTCTAATCAGCAGCGGTCCAACGCAGGAACTTTTTATTGAAGAGAAACATTGCAAGAATGTTCACATTATCTCTCATAATACCGGAGTCAAACGATAATAACAGCAACAACAAGAAAAGAGACCCGACTGATAGATATCAATATCATAGAAGTACTCGCTTTCGGAAATACACCATAGCAAACAAGAACTACGATATTTGACTAATGGTGATAACTCTTCCCTGTGCACAAAATGATATGGATCGAGAGTTAAGACATTCAAATGTAGTTAAAAAGAGAAACCGCATTCTTTGGGGATGACTTGTGCGGCATCATGCTGGAGTCGTTTCGGCCTCAGTCGGGAGCAATTTCGTCTTGATTTGCTTTCATCTCTGCAAATGAAGACACTAAGATGGCCAGAATTACCAAAAGTCTTGACTGTTACAGGTATGCCCCCGAAGTCATCCCAGAAGGGGGGAGGGGATGGAGATGTTGGAGGGGAAGTAGAAAAAGACGATGACGATAGCGATTCTGACTGATGTTGTCACTCCTTCGATTCATATAAAGAATTTTCAATCTTCCTAATTTTCCAGTGTCATCTGGCATTTGTAGGACACAGCGAGCTTCTAAGAGTCAGGACACGCTCAAGGCTTTTAGATGAAAGAGGTCCGTCCCCAAGCACTTTTAAAATAGTGATTTAACAAATATGATACTATTATTCAGCATTTCAAAGCTTCCATGAATAACACATGAAACCTTGACCCGGAGGCTTAATGGGCTATCTACAAAATAGTACGAATACTCAGGAATATCGTCGAAGTTATGCAAGTCACGTGTATTTTTATGGTCTGCTTTTCCTGTCATGGGGCCTTTCGAGGTCTATCTGACGGCTTTCCTCCCAATCAGTATGGTAGATTTCAATGCTACCAACCCGTAACGTGGTATTCCCACGTTTCGTTATCAAAGCACTGATTCCATAGGTGAATCTCGTGAGATTGTCCTAATGATGAATGAGCATTAGGTTGTCGATTGAGAACCGCGTTGGCCGTGACGCTTTTCTGTTTATGCTCCCAGTACATATAGTCTTTGAGCGACTCATCGAGCTCATCCGCCAGCATATTCCATCGAGTAGTAGTAGGTGATAATGCATTCGAAAAGGAGGATGGGAAGGTTGAAGCACCCGGATTAGAATCTGGAATACGAAGAGCGCGCATCGTCTGAATATTTTCACTGCCATCATCGTCCTGTGGAGTTGTCAAAGAAGGACCAGTTGGTTCAATAGGTAACCGTCGAAGTGCTGGTGGCGAGTCAGTCCTTCCTGTGTCTGTTGTCTTGGCAGGGTGACCAGTCAATGGGGGAGACTGATGCATAATCGCGGTGAGCAGCGATGGCCGCGACACAACGACCGGCTGTAAAATTTGCATCGGAAAGGTTTCTTTCCCATCGATACTGGGCAAGACATGCTCGGAGACCGAGTCTTCCCAGTCCAAAGAGCCATCGTCGTCGATTGAATCTTCAGAAACTCTTTTGCCATCAATTTCGGCTTCCTCGTCATCGTTTGCTAACGAACCACCCAGACACGATTGATGACTTTTCTTTCCCGTTATAGGACTTTTGGAAAGAAGAGTGCTTCTAGAAAGTGGAAAATCATCCGCAGGTGGCGGACGAAGCCGGTACGAAGAAGAGGGTTGTGAGGCAGAAAAACCATGAATGATACTGTTTGAGCCCATGAGACTGAACAGACAATAGTATTTAGAACAGTGGATGTGCGATCCCTGTCGTTAAAGGCCAGTCCAGTAAATAGACTGGGCTTAGTTCTGCACTCCTGGAGAGCTTTTAGTAATGGCCGTAGCGGTCTGAAAGATTTATTTGAATGACTGCCATCGGGGGGGGGGGTTCGTCTTGACATCAAAATCAATTCTATGTACCCACTTTGAACCCTAATACAGGCCTCATAAGAAAAGAGAATATCAAGAGTAAAAACCTGTATTTTGAAAGTGACGTCACTGTTGGGCTCATTTAACCTCATGTTATCATAGTGAGCAGTGGGCTATTCGATCACACTTACAAGTCAGCAATATTTTCATTACATCAGCGGCATTTATCCGGGATGAAAACGACCTTCTAACCTCACCACCAAAATATCAGAGCAGAGTAAATCTACAACAACGTGTGAAAATGCCATTACAATGGGATCAACTACCTTCTTGGCAACGTGACAACCAATATATCCTCAGCGGTTATCGAACTTCTTCCAATTCCTTTGGCAAATCATTCGCGAGCCTCAAGTATCTCCATAATGAATCCGTTAATATATATTCCCACCTCATCCCTGCGGTCATCCTTTCGTTCTTCGGTATCTCATTTCACAAAGCGCTTTCACGCAGGTATACAAGCTTCTCAACAGCAGATACCCTGGTTTTTGGCTGTTTCTTCTTAGGAGCTGTCCTGTGCCTGAGCATATCGGCATTTTTTCACACCGTTCAGAACCATTCGTCACACATCGCACGCATTGCGAATCAAGTTGATTATATTGGTATTGTATTGCTGATCGTCGGGAGTTTTATTCCGAGTATCTTCTATGGGTTTTACTGCCACCCTCACTTGCAGAGACTCTATCTAACCATGGTCTGCCATTACTATTCTTCCCGTTCATCTATTTGAACCAGAAAACTAACAAATACTTGACTAGATTACTTCCCTCGGCCTGTTGTGTGCCACGGTTTCAGCAAATCCTCAATTTCGGCAACCCACGTGGCGACCCTTTCGGGCGGGAATGTTTATCGCCCTTGGACTATCAGCACTCTTCCCCGTCATTCATGGGGTTAGGAAGTTTGGTATTAAGCAGATGAACAAGCAGATCGGGCTTTTCTGGGTTGTCCTACAGGGTTCGCTTTATATTGTAGGAGCCTGCGTATATGCTGTGAGTCAAGCAACGTGTCTTACGAACAAGAATTTAACGTGCAAATCCTCAGATGCGCATACCGGAGTATTTATATCCTGGCCAGTTCGATATCTGGATAAGCTCTCACCAAATCTTTCATATCATGGTAGTACTGGCTATATTATCTCACCTCCGAGGACTGGTCAATGCCTTTGATTACAATCATAGTTTTATGGCCCCACGTTGCTGTTGCACGAACTCTGAAAAATGCAAACAATCTTGAACATGGAAAATGTACTAATTACGAGAATCGCTCCAAATTAAAGGTATGTCCATGCCATGGAGTAGAGTGGAATGATAGCGACTGACTGCTTTAATCGGAAAGAAGCGGGACGGGGCTGTCAATAAGTCTCGGTAGACAGGTGAGGGGAAGGAAAGAAGTTGCAAAGTCTCAGGGAGACTGTATACATGGTGATTCCTAGCCTTTTTGTCCTGGTTAATATGGCAGGAAGAAAAATGAAAGTGTTAGCAGAACCTACTTCTATCCATATCATATCTCGATTAGTTCTATATGACAGAAATCAGTGACCAGTATTGTATGGGTTCCGGAATGGTAATATCAAACTCTCTAATGACTAAACTAAGAAATTGACAATGTAGGACATGCTGACAAAGAGTAATATGCACTTTTTGTGAGGTGTCTGATATTGATGTCGTAAGGTATTCTGAGTAAATACCCAGAAATCCACATCACATGCAGAATCAGCATATTTCTGACACCATATCCAAATTATTATTTCATCCAACATTCTCTACGTAATCTTCGAGTTGCACAACATCCAAATAACACCGGAATATCAGGGACTTGAGTAAGGTCCTTGAGAGCCGTCTACCCTTTCTAGAAAACAGTATACCTGTAGCGCAACCGACCAGACGAATTTTGAAGAATTGCAGTTGATGAATTTCACCCATGACGGAATGCATTTGGTCGTGACGTCATCGCCTTTTGGACGGCAACTGACTACTATGTTATATTGTTCATGCAGTGAAAGCCATGCAGCGTGTATGAGGTCATAAGTTGAAGAGCAAAACGAGAACCTGATAAGAGCAACAGATTTACAATGCCCGAAGGTCTGCCGCCGATTTTTCAATGTGTTTTCTTGCAGATCTTACAAGGGGCTAGACTCTCACCCTCCTGATGAACACATAGAGCCTTTCACTGGAAGGGACTTCGAGCACCATCATCACCACAAGCATAGAGATGGCCCCGCAAGCGCCAAAGAAGACGACCCCCAGCATAATGAGGGTAAATTGAAGACCGATGATGACTATCTGAAGGATTACAAGAAAGGTCTCAAAGAGTATTACGGGGAAGACAAAGAGTTGGAAGTTGAAGAGCCACCTGTGGGTGCTTGATGATTACTTGTTATTTGGCTGGACACATTCACCTTGCAAAAGAGTTTATGTAACTAAGTGGTGGTTAAACCAACATTTTTAGCCATGATCATCTTCCAACAAAATTTGATATGCACATGGGCTTGATCCTCTTGGCCCCCGCATTATATTAGAGTAATCTTTGTTCAAACAATAGGCTGTTGCCTCCGGCGTTTGATTTCTTCGATTCTCTGGGAAAGATGCAAGCAACGGTTATTGATTCATCTGCGCCAGCATTTAGTCCATTCTGTTTGGAAAACACATGGATATATATATGGTCAGCCAGCAGGCCGCGCGTTCCAAGCTTTCACAGTCTTACCACAAGAGGTTTAGTAATTTCCCGCGGTTTCTCGTTTTTCCTTTCTTCTGCAATTTTATGACATTTGCACACATATGATTTTTGTCGAGATTGAGATCCGATCATAGGTTTGCTAAGAAGCATAGAGATGAGGAATAAAGTGTCAAGTGATTTTCGTTATGATGATTTCCGAGAAAATGCAAGGCACTATATATGAACATCAGGTCCAGATCTGTTTTCAGCCCACTTGACTCTCCGTATAGATCATCCAGCAATTAGTTCCGATGTTGCGGCTTGGTTTCTGATCTGCACCAGCCTCGTATCGCAACAAGAGACATGGGGATAGGGAGGATTTCAGCTAGAAAGGAAATGGTTGCCGTCGGCCCGTAGATTGTTGAGATTCATGGGACTATAAGATCTCACTGCCTGATCGATCAGGCCTGAATCGCATTATCAGCACTGAACCACCATGAAGCTCGCTATCCATGGAAGACTTCATAAAGGGGACCGCAATTCATCTCGCTTATGAGTGGGCACACACCATGTCTATAAATACTAGGTGAACTACATAGTATAGATAGACAGACTTAAACACTTTCTCAGGGCGTATGCTTCACATAGGTAGATATCATATTTTTAACATAGTATCGTTAGGGGTCGGCACGAATAAGGATTTTCCATATTCGTATTCGTAACTAGTCGTGAGACGTCATAATCTTTTGGGTCGTAGAACGTGTCTATCCTACTTTGGATTTTGCCAATCGATAGTGGGGAGTAGTTGAATGTTACTCCTGCTGCAAGATATATACTTCAAGCAACAAGTAGCGGCTCAGGGCGTTCCCAACCGCGACCAAAAATTCCCGAATATTCGTGGTTTTATTCGAACAAATATCAAAAAGCAGTGAACATTTTTTTATTCGTATTCGTGCCGACCCCTAGATATTGTATCTGTAAATAGCTGCAAAGTTGCGCGAGTGTAGAATTGTCAAAAAATGCAGCGAGATGGAGACGTCAGCGTCCAAGCAACACATTATAAATATAGTTTGGGAGGCGGCCGAGAGACGGTCAAGGACGGCAGTATCCATTTGGGGCTAGCGCTAGACACCATGTTGGAGCACCTGTTTTGATGGTATTGTTATGTCATCCTGATACGCACTACTCATGCATTAGGTTTAGTGTCGGATTGACGGATACTGGTATGTGCTAGTATTGAGGTGTCCCATTGAGATGCCTTGATTGTTCTATCTGGATCTTGCTGTTGAAGTGTTATCAGATCTCAGGAGTCGTTCCTAGCGTGTTACAACGCTGGTATGCCGAGCGTACCCCGTTTACCATACAGAGACAAAGAGGGAATGGGTACTTGATGAATAACCCTGTTCTTAGTGGTAAAATACCACCCCTCAGTTCGACAACATGTATCACCTTTTATTTCACAGCTAGATAATGTTACCTGCCGCCGAACTAAGGGCGTAGAAGGTAAATTAGGCTGAGCAACCGGTTTGCCGGTACCCATGGTGAACATATTCTTTGCTTTGATTCCTCATCGTCGAGAATCATATCATCTCCACCACCCTCTATTGTAGAAACTAGACTGCCGCAATAGGCCGGGTTGGGCCTAAACTTCGAGCCCACGGCTCATTAGTGGGGGCCCCCATTAAAGCCCATCTCAACGCTGACAATCGACCTGTGTAATCGCTGTAATACGAACTTCAACTAGTCGTACAAAGTTCAAATTTGAAAGATAGATTTATAGTACAGTAGTGATACTATTACAAGTTTCAATTTTGAGTTGGATCCGACCGGTGGAAGTCAAGATATCGCGAAAAATGTTGATATTCATGTTTTGATCTTGGATATATATATGAGGTTTATGCGTGAGTACCACCACTTTCTAGTGAACCTCTGTAATTTATAAAATTCCTAAATACACGCGTCTTTTCGCGACTTTAGACGTGATATAAAGAGTTAATAGGAAACTAATTCTAAAATAACAAAATTAACTAAAAATTATCTTAGTGATAAGGTAGAAAAACAGTGGTAAAACGGAAGGTAATTGATAAATCCGAAAAAGAGGGTTCAACTTTGCTTGGCACCTGAATTCTCGGCATGTTTGTACTGTTTGGGGCCCATCAACCCATCATCGTGACTAAGCACCCACCGACGGTCGGTCCCCTCCTGTCAGTGAGCCAAAGCCATTTCACAAACCAAAGAGGGTAGTAAATTATGTTGAATCACTCGTTTTTGGTCTGTTTCTTGCTGGTGCTTGTTCGAGTACTAGTGCCTGCATCCCTCGGATCCGACAGATATTGTCCCTTTAACAATATACCACAGTCCACAGAGCATGTATGGGGTACACAAAAAACATAGCAAGATTTGCTAGCAACCCAAAGAGATTGAATGTCATACAGAGCTGATATATTGCTTCAGCGACTGCGCTGAGATCTGCTAACTCTCGAATCCCACTGTGCACCAAAGTGAACTAAGTAGGCGCAAAAGGGTTCGATGATCACGAAAACATGCGACGACTATTCTCCAAAAGCTGCGCTAGAGCTTCCCATCTGTTGTATTGACGAACTGGAGCGCAGAGAATGGGGAGCTCTTTGTCGACTGGCTGAGCAGAGGCCATGGAGCTATAATAGCGAGGCGTTCGAACAACAGTAGACTTGGAGCGTATTTTCTTTCACCAATCAGCGGCAAATCACCATTCCTTATGTCAACATCGTCTTACCATGTCTTCCCTGGAGGGTGGAGGGGTATCTGGGTGAGAGTGATATGTGAAAATCTGACCATCAGGCGATTCCATGATGAGCCAGCTCTTCATCCCATATAGAAGCCAAAATTCATTGTGGCGCCGTAATAGATTGTTGCGGCGCTTGCGGAGTTGCTCTCGCTTGACCCGGCGCTTGCGGAGCTCCTCTCGCTCGACACGGCTTAGAGCAGGCGCCATCTGTCAATTAATTTACTGCAATCAAACAGCAGCTTGCCACGGCTGCATGCAGCATTTATGTATGTCGCAATGCCATGGTCTGAGCACCGAAGCTGACTTCAACGATGCTCACCGCATCCGCGGATTTTCCCAACGATTCTCACCTGTTACGATTTAAATTGCGGGCTAGACTAATTGCGGGTCAGAGAATTCAAGAAATGCGGCTCGGCGTTGATCTTTGATATGCAAGATGCAAGATTGACATTTTCTATCCCCAGCATGAGACATAAAGCAACAATGTGAGTCTACGTGCCTTGGATCTTATCTCAAATTCTAATGTTGGATACAAGGAATCATACCAGCCATTTGGCAAAGACCCAACATATTGGGCTAGTAAGCTTATATCAGTATGAGACTAAGCGGAGAGATGCTCTAGCCTTCCCTTGCTTGATTGATTTCACATCAAGTACGTGAAGCAACTTGCAATGGAAAAAGGCAACTACCGCCCAGCTAACGTATGTATCGTACGTACCTCTCTCCCGACTTCCCCTTGTTTCCTACGACATCTAGAGATCAACTGTCGCTTTTCTGGGAATATGGCTGACAACAAGGCACACGCAGGACATTTGCTTCGCGGAAGCCTACATCCAACCATGACACTGGCTCTCAGATAAGCCAGGTATCACCCGAGGACAGTTCGAGACTTCACGAAATGCCAGTCTCAAAACAGTCTTCCTCGCTGACCTTGCACCGGCCATTATATTGTGATCATTTGCGATCAAAGTCCAAGCCTCCATTCAACACCCCTGCCGTTGCATCTGCAACGGAAGTAGACCATAATGGAAGAGTGACCGGGGTAGATTTCTCAACTGGTACCACAAGAGGACAACACATCAACACTGGCTCCCACCAGCCCATTGAGAACGTGCGTCCATCAAACACCCCTCGTTTCTTCCATTCCTCGGAAGAGTGCCATGCTGCACCAGGAGGAAAGATAGAGCCTAGGACACGGGAGCCATAGAGCAAGCTAGCAACGGAAGCAATACTCGTCGGACTCTTAGGAATGATTCTCTTGGTGCGCATGACATATAGTGCGATCAGCGCGCACATAACCATGCTACCAAGCACGCCATCTAGAATTCGAGTTGATATCTCGCTTTGCACGAGATATTTTCTTCCGTCGTGGAAGTTTCCCGTATAGATAGGTGCTTCCATGGTGGCGGGTTCAACAAAGTATGTCGCATTGAAAGGATCATTGAAAGATTCCCTTGCGCCGGTATTGAGTAATTGGGCCATGAGAACTCCCCAAACCGTGTTGACGCGATCGATCAGTACATCAGGGTCGAAAAGCTCATTTAACGGGACACCGTTGACGCCCTTCGTAAGCGTTTCTAGGGAGGCATTATTGTAACTAGGGTCGGTGTTGAAGAGGAAACTTGATACCTCCGCGAATAAGGGGAATGAATTGCGATTTGTCGCGAACGGTGTGCGAGTAGAGCCCTCGACTACGCGAGGCGGGTTTTTGGGGTCGATTAATAGCGAAGGAAGTTGGAGTTCTGTATCGACATCTACCTCTTCGATGGTGGCGTCGCAGTATATGAAGCGGTAATCGGTGGAAGTGCGATTCTGGCTCTTTTTGACGTATAGCATAGCATGTGTGGGGCAATTTGGAGGTGGAACGCCTACAATTCCGGACGGAAATCTAAGAAAATAGTCTTTGTCTGTTGCGGTGGCATCGGCATACACTTCCCCGAGGAGGCAGCCGGAGTCAGACCCACACCACAGCCCTTGACTTTCTCTTTGGGTGCAGCTACCGTTGGCCGGATCTGGCGCACAAGTGAGGCGACTACGCAGAGCGGGAATCCGCACTTCAATGATTCCCGTGTCTGGTAGCAAGTGGTCACTGCTAGTGAGCGCGACTTGCGGGAAGGCCAGATTGTTATGTGTCCATTGTGGATCAGAGAGGTTGAGGTTGAGAATGAGACCGGCTGTGTGGTCGGAATCGAAGTCTTGTGGCTCCCAGTATCTCATCACGCGATCGGCAGAGGCAGAGTCCCCAAGTTCCAACGGGTGATCTGCGTGAGATTCATAGGGGGAGGTAGGCCCCGAGGCCTTGGAAGCAAAGAGACCTGACACAACGATAGGGTTGATAGCCGCGAGAAGGAGTGAGATAGAGGCCGCAGTCAGCGCCCACTGTTTCTTTCGGAGCGTGTCAAAGACGGCATAGGGGGCGATCTTGCGGAGTTGGTTCTCGAAGATGCTTGTCTCTGGCGGAGCAAGGCCCTCGCGGAGGCGGGAATAGGGCTGTATAATGCGTGTGCTAAATTCGATGGATGTGAAAAGACATCGAATGATAAACATAATCAGCGCCGGGATATATGCCCAGATATAGTGAATATAAGGTGATTTCCCATCAACCAGGGTAATCCCACGCCGACTGGTAGAGATATGATAGACGACTTCGAGGCCAATGATCACAGTGATAGGAAGAACGACCACAGCAATTTGAATGAACCAAGTGGATGCGAACGGTTGCCACCAAACTGGTGAATGGTGTTCGCTAGGCTCGACAGGTTGGGGCGTAGGTTGATCCCGAGGAAGAAGCACAAAGGCTCCCTTTATATCACTCAGGGTACTATACTGTGTCTGGCCCAGCGTAGACTTCGCCATCTTTGCTTCTGATTCGAACTGTGTTCCGCCAAATGCGGTCATAAACTCCGGGCTTTGGGAAAGTATAGAAGCGACTCCTCCAATAGACCCTGTGTCTTGTGGGCATACAGCGACGGGAACAAAAAAGCAAAGAAGAACGACGACAAGAGCAATCAACACGGTCAATAGGACTGCCATTAGCCAGAACGACATTTGACGCACAAACAGCCGGTCCTCAAATGATTGCTCTGTTCCCTCGACATAATGCAAGTCGTCTTTCAGGAGCTTGTTCTTCGCCATCTGCTGCATCAGACATGAGAAAGAATCAGTAATAGAATCAGTGAACAGTGCCATATCTGCCCAAAGCAGCTCCCTCGAAGTACCATTCGCTGCAAAGGTATACTCAGACCCCACTGGTTGGGTAGATGACTGATCTATTCCCTTCGATGCCGACTGAAAACCACTGTACATAAGCTTTGCTGCCTGTATACCAACAATCCCATCTGTGACATTCAACCTCTGCCGTTGAATCTCCACCGAAACGGCATCTTCCCCAGCCTCACGCCAGATTCTCACAGGGCCCTGGTATGCAGTAAAGCGGGGCTTGCACGCAACAACATGGATTGGGTGCTGATCCCAGTCCATGAAATTGTGTCTGTCATTCACTGGTAAATCGATGGTGGCTGATGGAGCAATGGACGCCCAGACCCGCCAGTCAATGTCCCAGTCGTTCGAATAAGGCGGGAGGCCGGTCGAAGAGTCGTTGTCTTTGGTTTTGGCATCCTCCAAGCTCGACCTGAATACCGATCTTGAGGTTTGAGCGATACATTGCAAGAGGAACATCCTGTAATTGATAGCGACAACCGTCCGGGGTTTTGTACACCTGCGTGGGCTTTGTTTGTTGAAATCTTTCGAATAGAACGGCTCATATGAGACTGTCACGTTCTGGCAACAAAACGAGACATTTGAGGGGCCTCGATCGTATAAGATCAGGATGACTTGCCTAGCCAGCGGAGATAGGGGATAAAAGAGGTCAAAGTTACAGAACAGCATTTATTCAGACGAAATGAATGGGAGTTGATCATTGGACCGTGGTGAGGCTGAGCGTAGGGGGAGAGCAGGTGAGAATTAGACTCCGTCGCCCGAGTGCCGCACTGAACTTTCAAGGGAGCAGTCGTTGAGGAATAAATATCATTGGCCCATATAACTCTCACCAAAGAGTCACGTCTCTTGGCATCTTCGAATCGCCATATTTGTGAACACGAGTAGGAGCCTTGCTTTTTTGTACCCCTAAGTGAAGTGACGACTTGTATGGTTCAACTCAACATTCACGTGCGTCATATATGCGATGCGTAGAGACCTGGGCAAAATGCAGAGCAAGATAGGGTAGATTCGCAATCTCAGCCGCAATCCCAGCCGCAATCCCAGCCGCAATCTCGCACTTATTTCCTAAACAAGAAGAAGCAACGACGATCTTAGCGTTTGGCTTTGATTGTCGTTAATGAGCGCTTCAAACCGCGGCCCGGATTTTCATGATGCTCAACCGCATGAATTTGTCTATAAGCTATCTACCATGATGATGATGATGATGATGATGAATTCATTTGCCCGATGTAGCTCGCTTCTGCTATGCGGGAATGCTGTCAGGTCTGCCGACAGCTGCAAGACGGTCGCCAGCCCACTAGGCGATCGTCAAGGAACTCGTCTTACGAACTTCTGGTCAATCGCCCTCGAATGGAAAGATGTAGTTTCTAAACAAAAGAAATGCACGAATACAAACATGGTAAATACAAAGCCAAAGTGAACGAACGTCATTTACAGGGCCCTGGTCGAGGGTAGGACCCGGGCCCCACTTCACCGCACACCATTCCCACGCCCTCTTCTCTCCAACCGTCCAGTCTTGTCGGCTGCCGCTTGCGCGCTTGCTTGGATCAAGGGAATACAGTGGACCTGGCACTGCGCTCCTAATGGGTGCCATCCTTCTTCTTCCGTCACACTGTCTGAGGGGTCATTATCTCCGCTCGTTTGTCGTTCCCTTCCTCGCCCAGAGCCGTAGGGTCGACTGTCTGAAATTGGCCTTGCAGGCCGGTCTTGACCATAAATTCGGCCACGACCGTGCGAGCCTCCGGTCGTGTCAGGAGTTGGTCTCGACTAAGAGTAACTCGCTTGTCGGAAAGAGCGTTTTTCATCCAGTCTCGCTCATCCTGGTGCAAGGGGCATTCCAACAGGACATGGATCACTGTTTGGTTGCCAAGGACGCAACCACATCGCGCTGTTTCGCGTCGGTTGATACGGTTCAGGTAAGCCCCTAGGCCAATTCGCCCTGTACGAAGCTGCATCAGAATCGATGTCGTCGCTTTGCGCAGGCCCGACCAGTATTCTAGCGTCTTCTTGGTTGGTACTTCAATCAGGCATCTCGTCGGGTGGCTGGTCGTTTCCTTGGCCCACGTCCTGTCCCACTCCAGATTCGTTTCTCTGCGACTTCGCCGTTTCGCTGCGGCTGCGAGGCATATACCACAGTTGAGAGGGTTCTGTGGGCCGTCCGGTTCTTGGGCTGCTTCTTTTGCGTGTTGGTCCACAATCTCATTGCCAATGACCCCTTGGTGCGCGAGAATCCATCTGAGCTCTATCCGGACGCATCTTCTAGCAAGCCGCTGGATCAGGCCGAAGCATCCTGCTAGATAGACCTGTCCTGACAGCATCCGCGGTTGCCTCAGCGCCTTCAGCGCTGCTTGGCTGTCTACAAAGATGACTACCCCGTTCTTCGCCTGCTTAGCCCATGGTTCTGTGCTTTCCAAAACCATTTCAAGTGCCACCTAAATTGCAATTTATTGTTCATCAACGACATGTCTCTTCAAATAGTGTCTTTGCGCTTTGCCCGCGTTTTAATTTGCATCCCAAATATTAATTACCCAGACCAGATCCCGCTTTTTTTTTTCTCGCGAGACACTCAAACTTCTGGGATCATATTCGATTCCAGAATCCATGGCATGGTTCCTAGGCACGCTCTTGGCCGCTCACAGGAGGAACGACCATGGTCCCAGAGGACCTATAGCTCCCGGGGTGGACTGTATAGCTCCGGGGAATGAGAGGTGATACCTTGGGAGCGTTGGTTACTACTCGGTCGGATTAAGGAGGACACGGTGAATAGGAGACCAGAAATGGCCGCTATTGACGCCGTTTTAAGCCGCCCGCTCACCGTGGTCTTGGTGTCAGTGGCCCCGAAGCCCACGGCCAACCTCGTTCGCTACCACCTGTGGTTCGGGTAGGCCCGTGCCTGGTCCCTGAGCCCATTGATCGACCGGTGTCCATTCGTGCTGCAGCCGCTGCGCCCATCCTCGTTCGCCCTCAGTCAGTTGATGTCTGTGTCTATCCAATGTCCGGAAATGTGATTACGGTAATTTTTGGTGGTATACTAGGAAGATATCTTCAAGACTAAACGTTTTCCCCTGCTACCTATAAACAGCGCTATCAAGCTCAGGTGGCCTCCATCCAGCCAACTCCTGAGGCTGCTGATGATCCCCTTCCATCTCCTGCACATTAGGATGGGAACCTGGTAACTCAAATTTTCCACTCTGACCCGAGAGCTCTTTTGGGAGATTCACGACCTGAGCTTCCCTCCGCCGTCTTGTTCTTCCGCGATGCATTTCGGCCCTGTTGATCACGATATCGTCGAATATATAAAAGAATAAGTAGACCAATAACAAGTAGAACCCCAACAGCAACCCCAACGCCGATTCCTGCTTTGGCACCTGTGCTCAGACTGGCGGAGTCAACATGTGACTTTGTTGACGCTAACGTTGGGCGCGGGCCAATGTTCAAACCATATATTGCTGGTACGGTCACAGTGAGAGTATTTCGTGATGGAGAAACGGTCTTTGTGATTAACGAGAATGAAGTATCCGCCGACCCCGAAACTGTGCCGGAGGCCAAGCTAGCGTATGTGACCGTATTCGAATTGCTAGCAGAAGAAAAACACTTAAATTCATCGGGTTGTGACAGCGTTTCGGGGGATAGCGCATAGGACCTAATACGGAGGGATCAGCATAATACCAAGCAAAGGAGTATAGGAAGGCAGAAGATGAAACGTACGAAGGACAGCATATACTCCACGTAGAAGACAGACTCGGAACAATCGAAGTGGCCACCTCCCATCCATCAAGACAATAAAATGGCGCCAGCATAGCTGTTGACGTGAAATGACTTGTGCCATATCCCTCATATATCTCCTTGACTAGAAAGCTTCTGAACCGAACGTATTCATCGAATTGTGGAGGAAAACAGGTCATGCTTTGGTTGACAGCTATTTTATAGTACTCAATCCACGCCAAGCCAGCACGTAGTGTTGTGGTGCTTGATCTTGATTCCGTGCCGACAAAGTATACAGAGCATTCTTTCGGAGCTGTGAAGGGTGTTGTCATCGGGAGATATGTTGTTGTTGTGCCATTTGTTGTTGTTGGTGGGTGCGTGGTTGTCATGTTGATGAGAAACCCTTTAAACCCTCAGCCTATGCAATAGAACTGGAAGGCCTTTGATCGTGTGACTATGACGGGATTTGAGGAATTAGCAGGAAGAAAAATCTCAATGAAACGTGGAGGAAACCTGGAGCCCCGGGGGAAAGGCCAAACTCCAAACCACAAAAGTGCAGATCGCATCTGCTGCCAGCTGATCGACTAACAGACCAATCGCGGCTGATTTCCAATAGGGGGCTGATTTTCAATAGGGGGCTGGTTTTCAATAAGGGGGTGAACGATTGTAGGGGGCTGGATAATTGATTGATCATTGGCTCTGGCTGCAGAGTACATGGCTGAATAATTCTGTCCCGAAATATTTGAACATTGGGAGGGTGCTAGTGGTATTCTCAACTCAACAATCGATCTCGCCAACAGGGATCAATCTTTTTTTTTTTTTTTTTTTCTTTGATTCCACACCACGACCTAGAGAGCTCATGATGATGCTCATGCCCATGTGACAATCGATCAGAGAGCAAATAATTCTGAAATGACTGGGAACACAATTCAGGGCTACGGAACGAGCCGAAATGGCTCCTGCAAACCCAGCGAAACCGACTGCGGTCACACATTCGATACATGGCATATGTGTTGTCCGGGCGCCTCCCACTGCTTCATGAATAAAGGAAATAGCGGCGGTGTATGCTGTCCAACAAGCGAAAGAGATTGCTGGCTGGACGTCGACGGAGAATGTGCCGACAAAACGGCAAAATACTTCCATTATCACACAGAGGGGATCTGTTGTACGAACGAAGAGGTCGGCTTTTACCTCAAAACAAGCACCAGTGATCTAGCAGCCGATTCTGGCTGTGCAGCGGATATTAGGGATGTGGCGCCGAATGCCCGGAGAATGGACACCCCTGAGACTTTTACCTTCACAAGTGCAATCGGTTCGACGGCAACATCTATCGAAACAAATACAGCTGGTCATAGGAGCTCCCATTCTACGGATCTTGGTGCCATTGTAGGTGGTGTTATTGGTGGGGTTTCTAGTGCTGTTATCTTGGTTGGATTGGCGTGGTTATTGCTTCGACGCAGGAAAGATAAGAGCCAAAACCAACAGGATGGGCAGACTGCGAAATCGAGGGAATTGCCGGCGGAACTCGACGAAGAGAACGCAAGAATACAGCCGACTGTCAATGAAGCAAGTGGAGAGATAATACCTGAAATGGATAGCAGGCAGGATTCAGCACCGAGAAGAGAATTGGATGATCCTAAAGGGGGGGTTATGAAAGTGCGACCAGAATTAGTTAGCCACAAAAATAGTGAAGCCGTGGAATTACCCTAACGCTATCGAGTGGGTAAAACATGGCTAACTTTTGATATCCCTATTAAATATCAGCTTAACACTTTCTTGATTTAGGCGTAGTAAATGATAAGCATAAACATATTTAAAATAAATCTGAGGATTAGCTAGTTTATACGTCAACAGAGGATATATGTATTTAGAGAGAGAGAAAAAAAATGTATCGGCATGTCTAGTAATAACTGTAATATAGTCAGACAGATGTGCAGATGTGGACTTCCAGTAAACAAGCCCCTGAGTCTGAGTATGTATGTAACAGGTGGACGGATGTATTAGAGAGGAACAGCTGTTTGATGATAATCCATTACTACGTACGAGACCTTACCGATTCATCGGTCGTCGAGAAGAACTTTTTTTTGGCTGAGAAAGGTGCTGAAACAACGCAAAGAATATCATCCTGACGGTCTTACCTCTGAAGAGCTCGAGAAAGCTTGTGTACGTGACGTGTCAATAACCTTTCTAATTGCTCGTCTCTCATCGAGACTTGTGGCATAGAATAAAGCCCGAGATTTACATGCTACAGATACCTTTGATATGACCACATAGATGAGATTTTCATTTCCCTTGCAGGCTACACTTCCAGCTCCAGTGAAGGTCAATGCTTGTCTTTCCAGGATGAGATTCGCCCAGTCCCTGCCCAGGTTTATCATCAGGCCACCAGGTCGAAACAATCTCATGGGCACGAGCAGCGACATCGTAAAACTTTGCGAGGAAAGCTAAGAATTTTAACGTCCACTGAAATTTGTCGAAAGCTCTGGCATCACTGTATGTCTTGGCAAGCTGTCGTAACGCTGAAATCAGGGAATAGGTACCTCGCGCATTGATACCAGGCTGGGTAAAATATGGAAGACTCCGTGCAATCCTATCGGCATAGACAATAGAAAGTAGATAATCCTCATCTTGTGATGGGTCGGTGTCCAAAGTGGACTCCGAGGTTGTATGTGAAATAATCAGAGCTCCTGCGCGATGTCGTAATGAATAGAGGATTGTTGATGCGTTCCATAGAAATATATGAAGCTTAGCGTTATCGAGCGACGAAAATCGATAAGCTGGTCCAAATGGTTCATGTGCCGGCCATAGTCTGGAATCTAAATCTCCTAAATGAATGGTTAGCCTGAAGCGATTTCATGTTATTGATAAAAGGAGAAAATTTTACTCCTATCCTACCTTGGTCATATAGTGATGGACGCCCACCAATTTTCTCTTCCCATCGAGCATACCAAGCTTCATGCTTATTTTTTTGAATGAGGCAGGCCAAGAGCAGACCCTGACAGGCCCCATATTCAGAGACACATATGGCGCTACTTTTTTGACACAACAAGGAGAGATCAGCGAGTATGTGTATCAATTCAAGGAAGGGTTCATTTTTGGTGGGCTGAGAAAGATATCCATAATCCTCTTTGGACATCTCCATGTAGCCTACGAGGAGCTAGGATTTGTCAGCCACTTGGAATTAGAAGGAGTCAGATTAGTGATGAAGAAGAACAAAGCCTACCACTTTTAGCTTTTGGTGCTTGTGGTAAATGGCGGCCGTTAAAGGATTTACAAGTACCAGATAACGATACTGCTTAATGAGAGAGTTCAATCCAGCCACATGTGTGACATAAGCCGCCAGGCCATCGGGACAGTATATGGCCTAAGTCGGTGTAAGTAGATTTGTTGGGTTTGAACAGAGGCATCGGACATTACCTCTAGCTCTTGAAATATCACAGAAACGTATAACAGCTCACCACTGTAAATTTTTCGTTCCAGGTGACGTGACATATGCCGGATAGCGCTGCTGTAAAGCTGTACGCCATGTTGCAGCATGCGAGCGTCGCTATCCAGCTTTCCTAGAAAAACACACGAGATAGCGGAAATGGCTTGGTCAAGCATCAATGTCTTCTTGGGCAGCGCTGCTATACTCGTGAACAAAAAGTGAAAGATGTCCACTGCAACTTCATGCTTCGCATCTGCAGGAAAATGGAGGTCAATGAACGATGAAGTAACTTGAGCTCGCGAGGACGGCCCCGAAGGAATGCTTTGACTTGGATCGACAAAGACATGTTGGTGTGGCGCCAGACCGGACAGGTTTGGTTTTGAGGAAGAAAATGTCTTCCCTTGTTTCCCATGATCATAAGAAATTATTCGTGTGCCCTCATAGCCTGGACACGAAATGCCATGTTTTATACATTTTTGACAACTTGGCTTCTGCTCATCACACTATCAGAGACATTAACACCAAGCTTTGCCAAAGGGAAAAATAAGTGTCACCGACTTTGACTTTCCGTTTTCTGCAGGCAGCGCATCCTGTGGACTGAAAAGGTTTACCACCCATTATGTGCTCGTCAGGAAGAAGGCTGGTGGAGGGGTAAGGAAAAAAAATTGTCGGCTGTTCCTTCGAGAGTGAGAGGACTGTTTAGTGAAATTGAGTGGTGCACTTAACTTGAATCTCTTTGGAGGCTCTGACGTTGTATGGTTCGAATATTTGCAGATCGCTGGTGTTCAAGGGGTTGGAGGGCAGTGCAGGTGTTAACTATCGGCAGCAAACGTACACGATCACGTAAGCGCAGTATGGTCATCACGTGAGGTAATCCCAATAAAACTACTTCCACTGAATTGTCTTACACTATAGCCGGTTGGCCTCAGGAAATATTTTCGATACGTTAAGTTACATTTCCACTGCTAATCCTAAGCTTTTGTGTAGCTTGGTAGAGAATTTGTAAAACAAGAGGTCTCAATGCACAATGACAAGATAGTATAGGAGCTGTCTTTAGGATTTTGGTGGGGATAACATCCGTTGCCAGACTCAGGGGTAGGAAAGTATTACATAGGGAACGCACGGATCTCTTGGTTGATGCACATCGATCGTAACAGACACCCGGCGGTCTGATAAGGCACCTCATTAAAGGCAGCACGGAGGTGGCTTAGCGGGTCGTGTTGTGATATGAGGCTGGTGCAGATCAAGAACCAAGCGGAACCAAGCCGCACCGTCGGAATTAGCTCCGAAGTGTCTATACAGACGACCAAGTTGATTTCCAATCAACTTGGCTCATTGTTATGTATATGGGCACATGTATCACTCTGAAATAACAACTCAATTTATACCTCTGAACTACAACAGGTTATGAGCCCGAGAGCATAATCTCGGGTGCCGTCTCTACTCATCTGAGAATCATCTCATCAATCTTGATTGTATATCTACCCCGCTTTCGCAATCATCACTATGTCTGCTCTGGTCCATGACTCTCCTGACCGAGCCGTCACGGCCATCGAGCCTCTGACGGGAAGCGATAACTTCGCGACCTGGAAACGTCTCATGACCTCCTACCTGAAAGCCAGGCAGGTCTGGGATGTCGTGTCGGGCGACCTTCAGCGTCCCGACTGTCTATTCAAGTACGCCAAACCTATTACGGCGGACATCCACCCCTTGGTGGAGCCCCACCTCAATGGGGCGGTGAGGCAGCGAGCCATTGAAGCGCGCCTCGAAGTGGAGGTCCAGGCATTCGAGCGCCACCGTGAATGGTCGCGCCGTGAAGCCGAGGCCTACCACACCATCTTCCGGTACCTGTCCCCCCACATCAGCATTCATGTCGCGGGACTAGAGACGTCCCGTGACCTCTGGAATGAACTTGAAGAACGATACCGGCGAATGGAACTCGCCACCTTCTGCGAACTGTATGCTCAACTTCGCGAGACTACCGGCGAGCGCTGCGGCAGTGCGCGCGAATTCACCGATCGTGTACGGTTGCTCGTACATCGATTGAATGCCATCGCGCCCGGATCGATTGGTGATCGGGCACACATCGCGATCATGCTGACGCAGATCGGACCGGAATACATCCTGGTTGTGGATGCGATCCAGAATGACAAGGATCCGGTCAACCCGACCACGATCGGAAATCGGCTGTCCAATGCCGAGCAGACGGTCCGACGAAAGAAGTCTCCCGCGCCCCCCGCAGGGATCCCCAGGACCGTCGATCAATGCAGTGCAGCGAATCCCCAAGAAATGTACCTACTGCAAGAAACGCGGCCATGTGGTCGCGGAGTGCTGGAAGAAGCAGCGCGAAATACACCCGCCTAGGGACTATGCCCTGAAGGCTGAACGGAGTGCTTCCGGCTCACCAAGAAACAACATGCAAAATATACCGTCAAGCCAGAGAGAAGATCGGCAGGGCCCGCCAACTTCCAAGAGACCGAGGATCAATATCGTGAGGGCGAGGGTGACGACTCTCTATACCCACGCACCGCAACCCCGGTGGATCCTGGACTCGGCCGCCACCAGCCACATCTGCTGGGACCGGAGTTGCTTCAGCAGTCTGCGGCCCCACCGCGAGATGCTGGACACGGCGGGCAATCCAGTAGAAGCCGAAGGGATTGGTACGGTGAAGCTCACGCTCCGGGGGAAGTTCAACCAACCCCTGGTGTTAAAGAATGTATACTTCGCGCCACGCGTCGGGATGAACCTGATCAGCGTGCCGAAGTTATTGCGAGACCGCTACTCGGTGGTGGCGCACCCGCAGAACGTCTTTGTGCAACGCCGAGGACGGACTGTGGGGACCGCCTACCATGCGGAGGAGGATCTGTTGATCCTGCGGTGCCATGTGAGCAGAAGATCTCGAGAGCGAGTCCAACTGGCGAGGGCGCCGGCGACCTGTGGCCATGCAGATTCCCTGGAACCGCAGGCGGTGGCCATGGACGTCGACGACCCTCAGGAGTCAAGTGACGCAGAATGCGCAACGTCAACCTCTGAACTCGGTGGTGAAGCTGTGATACTCGAGGAAGATGCGTGCAAAGGGGTGGACCAGGCCTCCGAAGCGTTGTGGCACGCTCGGATGGGACATCTGAACCGGGGAGACTTGAGGGTGGTCCTCCGGCAGACCGGCACTCCGTACCGACCGCTGACGCAGGCGCAGCTGCTGGCAACGCCGCAGTGCCCAGCGTGTATGTCGGGTAAGCAGCATCAGAAGAGGAACTCCCGTGCAAGACGGCCACGTCTGCATTCAACGAGAATCTTTGAAATGATCCATTCGGACATCATGGAGATGCCGATCGCCCAAGATGGCTCCAGGTACGTGATCACCTTTACTGACGATTATTCTCGCGGCTCGTGGGCATATGCCATGAGATGGAAGCATGAAGCGCTCCAGAAGTTCCAACAGTTTGAGGCCTGGGTGCACCGACAGTTCGGCGCCCAGATCAAGAGGTTCCTCACCGACAATGGGAGAGAATACCTGCCGATCGGAACACACCTCGAGAGCCAGGGAGTTGAGTTCGACACCTCGCCGCCATACTGCAAAGGGAAGAATGGTTTGGCCGAACGCACGAATCGCACTATCCGGGAGCGGATCAACACGCTCCTGTCCGATGCGAAACTTTCTCCTTCCTGGTGGACCGAGCTTGTGGACACGGTGGTCTACCTGAAGCTGCGCGCACCCGCTGCGCGCACCAGCATCGATTTTACAGAAGAAGACACCGTTCGAAATATTGTACGGGAAGCCGCCCTCGTTGTTGCATCTGCGACGGATCGGCTCCCGCGCATGGGTGTTGATTCCCAAAGAGCATCGAGCAAAGCTCGGACCCAGGTCGTCCGAGTGCCGAATGCTAGGTTACTGTGAGCCGAACCAGTACAAACTGTATGAGATTCATTCCGGAAAGACAGTCTTTTCCCGTGATGTCGAGTTCGATGAGAGGACCCCTGTGGCGCCACTCATCGAGGGGGAATCAGGCAACGACCTCCCGGACAACGCTCCTCCATCATCGGTCTTTCCGTCAGTACCTTCCTTGGCTAATGGGCTGCCGACACCACCGGTATCGCCTTTGCCCTTTTCATCCGAGCAAGAGAAAACGCCGTCTCAGCATGGGGAGGAAATACCTCCACCGGTCAATCCAATTGAACAGGAAGCAGAGTCCACACAGGACCTCGGCTATTCCGTCTATGGCCGCAGAAGACGACCTTCACGGCGTCTTCTAGAGTCATTAGGCAAGGTATACTCGACAGGCACATTGAATCCCGCACCGGCCAGGCAAGTCGACCCGGTGGCCTTTCGGGAAGCTGTGTCGGGTTCAGATCAGCTGGAATGGTGGGCTGCCATCCAGAAAGAATATGCGTCGCTTCTCGAACACGGAACATGGGAAAAGGTTCGACGAGAGGACGTTCCCACCGGAGATCATGTGATTGGCTGCAAATGGGTCTTTAAGACCAAAGCCAACGGAACGCGTAAAGCGCGACTGGTCATCAAAGGCTACCGGCAGAAGCACGGCATCGACTACCATGAAACATTTGCTGCGGTGTCACGCATGGACTCGGTCCGCTGCATCATCGCCAGCGCCGTGTTACGAGGATGGAAGCTTCACCAATTTGATGCGGTCACTGCATTCTTACATGGTGACGTAGACTCTTCCATCTACATGGAGTTGCCCGAAGGCTTCGAAGAACCAGGATATGTTTGCCGGCTTCGTCGTTCCTTGTATGGACTCAAGCAGGCCCCTCGGATTTGGTACCAATGCGTCCACCGTGTCCTGGCCGCCCATGGCTTCACCATGGCAGAATCGGACAACTGCGTGTTCTACAAATCCGATCGCGTGGTCTGTGTCTATGTCGATGACTTTCTCATTACGGCAGCCAATTCGCACGAAATCAAACAAGTGCAACAAGCATTGGACAAGGAGTTTCAATTGAACGACCTTGGAACTCCGCGTTCATTCCTCGGAATCCAATTCGACTATCATGCCGACGGAGGTGTTTCTATTCACCAACACCAACCAGTACATCCAAAAGATTCTGTCTGACTTTGGCATGGAAACCTGTCAGGCGAAGACTACCCCGATGAATCCCAAGCAAGTTTTAATCATTATCCGGACGAAGCACCTCCAGACGAGGAAGCCAAAGCACGATTTGCAACCGCCATCGGTTCGTTGATGTATCTGATGGTTGGAACGCGACCGGACATCGCGTTTGCGCTGGGCACGTTGAGTCGGTTCACGTCTCAGCCGCAATCGCACCACCAAGTCGCCTTGCAGCGATTGCTTCGCTATGTCAAAGCCACACAATACCATCGCATCACATACCGCAGCGGACAATTGATTGGATACACGGATGCCGACTTTGGCGGCTCTGTCGTCACTGATGGAGCCTACTCGACGTCCGGGTACGTATTCCAACTTGCGGGTGCGCCGGTTTCCTGGTCGTCCAAGAGACAGGGGGAAGTAGCCACGTCTACAACTCATGCCGAATACATCGGGCAATACAATGCCATTCTGCATTTGCAATGGCTCCGCACCTTTCTGGCCGAAACCCAACTGTATCGGTCTCCAGTCACCAACATCATGGCTGACAATCAGTCCGCCATTGCCCTCTCGCGCAATCCCGAGTTCCACAAACGGACCAAACATTTCAACGTGAAATTCCATTATCAGCGAGCCGTGCTGAATGCTGGCGAGATTGGTCTTCAATATGTTCCTACTGAGGAACAAGCCGCTGACGGTCTCACCAAGCCGTTGGGACCTACGGCTTTTGTCAAGTTCTGTAGTCTTCTAGGAATCGAAGCCTTGGAGATTCAGAGGCAACAAACGTGACAGCGCAGGCGCTCTTTCCACTTTATTTTCCCACGAAGGTTTTTGAGTGGTTTTACCGAGGCTTGCCTGCACAGCGTTAATCCAGTATCGCCTTGCCAGCAAAGCGATCCTGAGGGGGAATGTTGTGATATGAGGCTGGTGCAGATCAGGAACCAAGCCGCACCGTCGGAATTAACTCCGAAGTGTCTATACAGACAACCAAGCTGATTTCCAATCAACTTGGCTCATTGTTATATATATAGGCACATGTATCACTCTGAAATAATAACACAATTTTATACCTCTGAACTACAACATTAGAAAACACTTCGCGTGGATGCCATCTTATAGAGTGGTTGTTGATCCCCGGTAAGTAGATATAGATGAGGCGACACAATCGCCTGTTTATATCAAAATACGATATTTCGATGTTCCTGTGTGTAGCTAGTGTTGTTTTTGTCGTTTTAGTTAATAACAAAAAGGGAAAAATGCTCAAGGAGGCTTTATTTGTGGCTCGGAGCAGAGATTTTCAGGACTTATAAAGGTCCACACACGATCCACAAGCCCAGATTTGACGGGCCATCTGTGTGTGGATGGAACAGTTCCTTGTTGCTTCCTTTGGACCACTGAAGGGGCCACCCTCGTGGTTACGGTTGGGGCAAGTGAGGGTTGTATCTGGAATATCACGTGGACTTTTGGCAACTGAAGGGGTGGTATTTCACCACTAAGGACAGGGTCGCCATTTTACTAGTGCGCCCGAGGAACATTCAGCACCCCTTCTGCCTGATGATCGTAAGGCTCTCAATGACCTGACTAAGCTCGTCCCCTATTTATTCTGCACTTTCTATAGTATATAGAAAACACACTCTCAAGTACTCAATTGGCTATGCCCGTACTAGTCCGTACTGTAACGACCACGTTTCAACAGATTCTTTTCCGAATCGGGATTAGTGGTAAACTACCATTGATAGTTTATCAGTTTAAAAACGTGTCTCAGAGACTGAAGACAAGGTGTCGGATTGACGGATACTGGTATGTGCTAGTATTGAGGTGTCCCGTTGAGATGCATTGATTGTTCTATCTGGATCTTGCTGTTGAAGCGTTGTTAGATCTCAGGAGTCGTTCCTAGCGTGTTACAACGCTGGTATGCCGAGCGTACCCCGTTTACCATACAGAGACAAAGAGAGAATGGGTACTTGATGAATAACCCTGTCCTTAGTGGTAAAATACTACCCCTCAGTTCGACACAAGGCAATATATGCTGGGGAAATTTTGGCCCCAAAACAGCACCAGATAACGATATTTCTCGTCAGAGAATCCTTTCGCTTGTATACCCATCCCCGGTATCCAGGCATTTGAAGGTCAAATTGAATTAAGAATGTTTATTTAGCTTGAAAGGTCAAGACAGTGTTCCAAAGATTATTGATGAACGTTTACTCACGGGTGGTAACAATAAAACCAAGCGACAAAAAATATAATTCTATGCCACTGCAACGAGCATCCTCAGAAGACAAATTCCACTCGACTCGGGAGACAGGATCATTTCTTCAGCTCCCTCATGCCTATGCCAAGAACAATGAGAATTCTTATAAGCGCAATGGTTGCATTCCTATTCCAAGGCCCTCCGCAGAATCCACACACCGAAGGTGCCAAGTTTCCAACCGTTGTGTTTGTTGAATGCTTCAAATGCCTGGGAGCTAAGGATTCTTTTCATAAAGTCTGCTCCCCGAAGCAAGTTCAATACTTGTTCATTGTCTTTTCCTTCACGCAAGACCACGGCGTGATCTAAAAGCATGATCTTTCCGCTTGTCGGGTAGATCTTCTGCTCCCTTTCCCAACAGAAGTATGATGACTTCAAGGTGTCCTTGTTGCACAGTGTATGCTAACGCAGTCATTCCTCCCTCATCCTGATCGTCTCGGTCAAACCCTGCGTCAAGCAAGTGTTAAACTATTTGTGCATGACCAGAGATTGCAGCGGCGTGGAGCGGAGTCCAGTGAAGCCAAGCGAATATATTCTTCCCAGTTAGTGAGGATAAAATCTTCACAACCTCAAAATGGCCCTTTTCCGCTGCCTGATATAGGGCATTCTGTTTTTCAATCTCAGTTGTAGCATTCGGTCTGCTCCTCTCCACAGAACTAGATCCAGCCGCCCTACCTTTGCAGCGGCAGTCAGAGGTGTTCCTTACAGCGAACTTTCGTCTATTGGAGCAAGTTTTAGGAGTGCATTGGCATCTTCTTCACGCCCTTCCAAAATGGCATCGACGAGTGAATGTGTCTAATTTGTTGGTTAGTGAATGTCGGGAACGAACTCAATCATCTTCAAAAGAAACTTGTTTCCACCTTTAAGCACCAAGGGTTAAGGTTTTCGGATGAGGGGCACTCTAGAGTGGTAGAAAATGTCGCTGCGCTCAAGGTAGCTCATGTATGATGAAATTTATTTAAAGATAATTGAGTTTGTTCGGAATGCTCATATAACTGCTGTTTTCTGACCCACCAAGCGCTTAAACAAAGTCATTTCAAATTTTAGACCAATAAGGCTCAAAATCGACAAATTGACAAGGCGCTCCTGGTAGGTACTTTTGATAGTAAGCTATTGGGCACAGACCTGTTACTCGCGTTGGGATACAGAGACGAGAATCAAACCACCTGTAAGTCTCGAACCCCTCTTTCACTCTGGTGGAAGAGCGATTTAATTCGTGGTGGCTGGGATGCAAAGGACGTGTGGGTCTGTTTCAGGTTGGCGGCTAGCTCATCAGCAAGTTGGGTGGTTATAAACGGTATCGAACTAATCTGAATATTGCAGATGGTGATGGAAGAAATATGTGGTGTGTATCGGTAGCTCTACCACAATGTCAGGGTCTGCTTCGTGTTGCAGGAGATGCGGAGTGAGTGCTAGCTCGTGGTATCAGCAGAGTAGCAGCACCGTGTATAGGGATCTTGCGCATTACTATTGCGGCCAGCGTCCAGCAGGAACCGCATTGCCTTCCGAAGGAGCACAATCAGAAAATTAGAACGGATTTTGGCACAAATGAGCGGAGAAGAGCCATGGGAGGCAGAGACTGGGTTTCAAGGCCTCGGTTTGAGATCAAGCTGCAAAGCCCCTTTAGACTCCCCGCAACAGATACAGAGTCTCGAAGTTCATGCTCAATTATTTTCAAGTCTCCTTGGTAGTGGTAGGGGTGCGAAGAGGATTGCCATGCGTGCGGGTGTCCCAGGCTGCCTGTGTCGGGCTGGAAGTTAGATGTACGAAATCGGCGAAATTGAACTGTGGGCTCGAATTTCCTAGGGTCCTATACATCGCGCCATCTAGTATGCGAGTCTTTGATGGCAAAATTGCATGCTGACTTGGAGGACTAGAAGGGGGAAGACCTGATTACTTCCAATTATATGGGCGGGGGTGGGGGAGTCGACCACATACGGTGACGAGTCTGACGTATTCGCTTCTTCAACATACCGGCCCGTTCGTGCCAGTCGTGAGTGCTTTTGGGGGGAAATGAGTGGTGGGGAGGAACCTATGGTCGAGCTCGCATTCTGGCGATTAGGCAGCGGCAGCTCAGAATCGGTTTCTTCGTCAGACAGTTGATGAACGACAGACGGTGTTTCTGGAATCAAAACCGCAGCCATAAAGGCTGTAGGATACCCCTGCGCGCCAGGAGAGGATTTTGCCAGCCGGTAAGACCTCTTCCGCAAGACTCGGGGTACCTTTTTAGGGCGCACAGAGGCTGGATTCGACTGGAGACGCTTGCGACTGGCAAAACTCTTCGGCTGCATCACTGGAGAGTTGAAGGAGAATGCATGCTTGTTGCGAACTAATTGAGGTGGTTCCTGGTAGGTCGAGGCTTGGAGAGGGGGAGAAGTCAACAGGGTTCCGCAACGACTGCGTAGAATCTCCGGCGAGATGTCGAGGGGCTTGTGGCCGTCCAAGAATTGGCTTGAGTGCAGGCCGTGAAGCGGACCATGTTGGTATTTGAGTTTGGCCAGACCTAGTCGATGCCGCAGATTTGAAGATACCTGGCGCAGAACAAATTTAGCTAGGCTTCTTCATAAGGAGTCCTTGATGGGCGAAATGCTGGCTATATTGGAGGCTTATGATGTCCAGATTCATTGCTGCAATCCAGAAATCCCCGATTGGTATATATATATTTTTTTTCTTTACTTACCTGAGCGATGTGGGTTTTGCAAATGGTCTTCTCAGCCGAACTAGGCTGCAATGTTGTCATGGTGGGCGACGAAGAGAAAAGCTGTTCGAGTATACGAAGGGAGAAAGCCAGGGCCTTCGTGGGTTGCAGAGGTAAGGGCGGCTGCGTAGGAAGATGTGGCATCCAATCGGCGAATAAACAAGGAGTCCCTAAACTTAAAGCTGAAGACCGCCTCGGCAAATTCAAGCAGGTCAGATTGAGGACTGTCAGATTGAGAACTGATCGGATATTGAATTGCTCAATTGTATTCCCGGAAGAATAGTGATTGTATCGTAAGTAAGAATTTTATCCAAGAAACAGAAACAGCGTGTGTGGGAGCAAGTGGCGGCGAACGCACGCCGGGCTCTAATGCAATCGCGTCTCGCTCCGATCAGGTGGGACAATATACGTGACTTTACAACGATGGGCGTATGTAATCTGAAGGACCCTTGGCAATTGGTTTGCATAATGAAAAGTAACGCGGAACATGTTACATAATTTAAAAACTATGAATCCGATTTCAAAGGTACGATAAATCCGTGAGGATTTATTCGCTAAATGGTTGGTGTGGATCCGGTCGCATTTACGATTGACCGAGATTGCTCTGTTTCTCTCGTTTCAATCATGATGCATCCGTGGCTGACAACCCTTTGAAGGAGCGAAACTACTGACGCTGCAACATTTTGTCAGGCTGGATATTCATCAATGCCTCTTACAAATCCGTCAATTTACTGTCCATTGTGCCAATGTGATCTGGATGCAGCTCAAACGTGGCATTACCTGCTCGAGGAAGGGACGGAGGAGAATGGCAGTAGAACGGGACAACCGGTACACCGTCATTTCATGGAGATGATTCGCTTGACGGAAGAGGAGCGATTGCAAGAAACAACTGTGCATGACTATTGTTGGCGGATCGTCAAGCGCATCTTCAGGAAAGTCAATTTTGACCAGGCTTGGATTGATCAATTTAAGAGCTACAGTCATCTCCTCTCTCCTTTTATGCAAGAAGCCCCTTTTTGCGACGAATCCCATACCCTGGATCTCGATGTGTTCATGACTTTCAAGGCAGCCAGCCGTAAGGAGAAAACCCAAAGTCCGCTCTACATACCTTTGCCCCCCGAGGCCATTCAACGAATTTATTGCTTCCTCGACCGAGAAGAAGATATTGTCAACCTTGATGACGCCTTATCCGTTGGCCCTTGTCCCAAACAATGGAGGGAGCTCGGGTACAAGTACATGTTGGCAGATGATCTCGACCCAAGAGAAAATATCAAAACTCTTATTCGCAATCTGCAAGAGCAGCCAGAAAGCCGCTTCCCAAAGACCACTAATTATCGAATCATTTGGGCCAACGCTGAGATTTTGTGGACCGTTATGGATACCCTGTTGGTGATAACAAATGTGCCAGCAGATGCCTCAGTGACGCATGGTATAAAAGTCGGTGATTACCAAAACTCTGTACGATACGCGATTGGGCTTTGTGGGGCTCACTACATCGTCTTCATGTTCAATGAGACTCAGAATATTCAATTTATTTGTGGAATCGCTATCAATGGCCGAACCATTGGCCATGAGGGCCCGATATGGCGGTTTGTTCATGTGACATCTTTGACAGGGCTCAGGATCGCAAGTGTCGAGAACCATTTTGTTGGCATCCAAATAAAGGATACTCTCAGTTGGCAGGACAAATGGTACGGGGAATGTCCGGAAATCAGTGCTTGCACCACATTTGAATGGGATTCTAGAAGCAGTGAAGTTGTGGCATCACATGATGTAGGTTCTTTTGCTCAACTATACTGCGAGACACTTTTGCTAATGGTCACCAGGGTAACAAAATCACAGAACTCGGCTATCGGGTTTCTCCTGGGTAAACACACTCTACCTGAATGGCGTGTAAGTGAACCGGACGTTGAGCTCGCTTTCCAGAGAGTACACAAAGCATCGCACATTAATTGCGCATTTTATTCTCCTGTTCTCTACTAACGTATTTGTCGAAGGAACTATACTTTGGTCAAAATGGTACTGCAGATTGCCATCAATGTACACTGAAGATACACTGGCGGTACAGTATGTATTTGTGTGCGTGTGTGCGTGTGTGCGTGTGTGCGTGTGTGCGTGTGTGCGTGTATAATTAATGTATCCTGACTCGTCAAGTTGAAACCCTGAATTGAGGTACAAGTGGAACACTCCAATTCAACCTATGAGAAATTATCCAGTACTTGTAGTCGCAGTAGCTCCTCTCTCTTCGGCATAGCGGACTGGCAAGAGGTTGGTTTTTAAGGGCCCGAGGGCGCTTCGATCATTTCGCGTCCTCCGAATCATTGACATTCAAACGGTCACCTAAGTCATCCCACAACATCTTGCGTCACTACTGTGCCGCGAACATTTGCATTGTCCGAGAATCCTGCTAGATTGAGTCTCAAGGGGTGATTCCAGTCACCGAGTACGCTAACCAGCCTCTCCCGGGATAAATCCAATGCCTGTTCGAAAAAGCGCAGCCGGAATAGCTGCTTGTCGTGGCGAAGCTGAAGACCGTCACTCTCTTTTCTCAGGCGTGTGCCAGCCTCCTTCAAGATACGATTGCTCTGTTCTAGCTTCTGGCCATCGATGTGCTTGGACACGCACGACTCCCATAGGTGTCGATAGAGTCCAACAAGTCGAGCCGCAGGAAAGGCGAAATTGGGATCGTCACGCTCGAGGTCTGCTAGCACCTTCAGAATAGGTTGAAAGGGCTCGGTCGCCAGGGTGTGTCTTGTGGCTGCTTTCTGCTGCGAAGGAGAGGGCTGCAATGGTCAGCAAAAGCGTTTGAAGCCGAATCGTTTCACTTACCAACGGGACATGGTCAGAACTTTCCTGTGAATTGTCTTTCTCGCTAAAGATTGGCAACTCACTGGTCTGCCAATCCCCTTCATTCTCCTAGCCTGTCGAGCTGTTTTGGGAGTCCATTTTTTCCGCAGGAGAAAGTGAAGGGCGTGCGCAATACCATTTCCATCGATCCTTGAATTTTTGTCGAGTGCGCAGACGCAGGCGACTACGTAGCGGATTTTACGATTACCACAACTGTTGATTGATGCAGTCGGATTTTGACTATAGTTTTCGGCGGCCTGTTGACAGTGTATTCAACAATAGGGATAGTCGGTCGGGGAAACTGATCAAGCCTCATGATGTTGAGAGCCAGAGGTGAATGCTCATATATATTTCGCACACTTCCACTTTCGTTGAAAATCCATGATTTCTAGGGATGAAATTGTAGGCGCTTTTTGGTCATTCAACGTTGAGTCGCTCACAGGTGAGGTGATCAGAAAATGAAAATGAGCCTGTCATTGCGGACGGAATATCTCCACAAAGCCTCAATTTAAGACGGCCGTGAAGGATTCAACAGTGAGCCAACGTTTCTTGACCGACTCAGCATCCTTTCTCAACACCACTATTGCTCGTCTCCCTCGCTGAGCATCTAAAGGCAGAAAATTGTCGCTACAAATAGTTACGGTACATAGAAGACATGGGTTTCGACAGGCCTTAGTTATAAGAGGTGTCCCTCAACGCTTTCTACCAAGCACTTACCCGACAGGATGAGCCGAGAAGCCTATAAATACGTCCTCTAACCCCCGGCAATTCGTTCTATAATTCATTCACCTGACTCTGCAAAGTCGAGCAGGCAGTATAGAACCTGGTCGTTTTGCCTTCTTTCTTGCATCACAGAACGACTGGTGCTTAGTATGTGTGTAGAGAACAGGGCGGTGCTTGCCTAGAATAGAAAGGCCGTATAATTTCGGACCTGCGTTATCGTGGATGAAGCGATTGGCAAGCGGTCCTAGTCCTTGCCGATTTAGGTCGCCACTTACTAGAGGGTGTCTGCCTTATTATCTCGTGCGAGCAAGGCGCAAATGACCGTGAGAGTCATATAAGTATGGGCTTTGTACGCATGTTTATCTAGCATCAAGAGTTCAATTCAATCAATTTTTCCCTAAGAGTCATGATATATTCTCAAACAAATATGACACAAGAAAGCCAAGGTATGAGAATCAATTTTCTATAGAGATTCTTGACTTTACTAACCAGGGTAATAGAATCCTATTGTTCTGCGGAGTGTGTGATTTGTGATGCGATTCGCCTGGCATATTGCCGTAGCCCCAATTACGATCCTATCGCGTTTGTCAACGAGAGCCATTATGACGACCGTGTCTTTGACCATAATGGCTGGCGTAGAACCGACATCATGCAATCACCGGCCTTTTCCTTAGGCTCGGTTCCCAATACTCTCGCAGTTCCTGAGGAAAGCTATGGTTATTATAGGGACTACGGCACCGACACTGGATTTTCTAGGCTCCAGAATGACTTTCCTGAACCAAACTTTGATCTCTTTCTTTCTGTTCCTCCTTGCACTCAAGGGCTTCAATCTCTTGATTTGGGCCACCTGGATTATACTTTTGACACCCGGAGTACGATGACACCAGAACTCTATACTCCTTTCCCCTCGGTGAAGATACAATGGATCTGAATGTAGCCAACATAGATCATTCTGGCTTTTATACCGATGGTAGAAGCCAGACTATCTCCTTCCCATTCATCCCATTACCGAGTGGAATGCTAGCCTACGAAGACTATGGAAGCCTTCAGGTCGTCGGGCAATCACCTATAAGCAACCCTTCCCTAGTGGATGAAACTCTGGATATTACCGACAGTTTTGATTTGCAATCTTATTACTACGGCATGGAGGCTAGCCCGCTCCAAACGTCTCACGCTGGTAAGCTGAACCTAAAGTCATATACAAAGCTTTCGTTGACAAGTCCCAGAAGGCAGACACTCTGGGTTAACAGACGAAACTATCACGTCGGAAGAAACTCACGAGGTTATTCCGTCAACGCTTCGACGATCACAGCGTTTGATCGAAAGGTCTAGAGCTGTCTAACAGCCTTGCTCATTGTGTCCTCGTTCCATTTAATTTGTTATTCCGTTGTTACTTGAATACTTGTTGCATTTAGACCTGCTAAATAAAGAAGATATTATCACAGCCCAGATAAGTAGCAATAGAGTATGGAGTATATTCTCGTGGTTATCTCAGCAGTTGATTATATCCATGGATCATGTGTGGTTTAAGTTTACAAAGATAAGAGAGTGATTATGTGTAATGGACTCACTATGTACGCCTTTCTATGTCAAAGAGGTGGTTTATCGTTTCCACCACCCCACCATCACTTGTGTTACCGAAGCACGCGTGTTGCCGCCACGAGCCCGCGGCGTAGTTGAGTAAGGAGCCAATGGCTGTACGCCACCACTTCTGACTCTTCATATACCTGAGCCCGAGCTGACTAATAAAGCACCACTACAGTTCGTTACATTCTGAACTTTCTACCTGGGCCAGACCTCTGGGGCAATGGTCTTCATTCATCTAAGTGTAGGGCTTAAATCATTGTTTGGCAATGTCAACTTCCTTTATATTTAGAATGACTGCTGTTATAACTCCGCGGAACGGCAGTTTTCCAGAATTATCATATGGTGTACTGAGGCCGTCGTCACTTGTAACATTTCAGGATCGGGGGCGTTTGTGCAATGTATATGAATTTCACGATTCCTTGTTTTGTTAATCCCTCGAAATTGGTTGGCAAAATATGTTGCAGCGGCACACAAGTTTGTATCAGGACCATTGAAGTCGGTGAAGTATTCCGAAAGAGGCGAAACTGCGATCTTTTTCTCGAAAACATCCAACTTATTCAAGAACACGATAATGGGCTTGTGCTTGAATTGTTCACCGTTAGCCAAAGAGTCAAAGAGCATCATTTCGTCATGCATCTGGTGTTAAACTTGAGTCAGTATCGTCACTACCAAATGAGAAGCAGAATATTATAAACGTACAGCGTTCTGACCTTGTCCTCGGGTTCCAGAACGTTTCGCTCCATCTTTCCAAGAACTCTAGAGTGATTCGGCTGCCTTCGCGAGCGAAATTCTCATCTTCAATCTGTTCACTGGCACGTTTTTCTGCGTATATAAGCGGTGTCATTCCATCAATATCAGGCTGATAAAGGTCCGAGCCGTGGTAGTCATGCAGGGCGGCTACTACTTGTTCGCCAAGTGAACCATGTATTGCTGCGTGATGGAGTATGCTTTTGTTGCTGTGGTCCTTGGAAAATATATCGACACCGGAATGTTTCAAAATCCGGAAAACTTCGCAATCCTCCACGAAAGAATGCATGTGGACATGAGCCAGGTTTTCTCCCAGACTGTTTCTCCATAGCGGGTCAGCACCTTTTCGTATCAACAGCTGGCACATTTCCTTTTTATTCCCCAAATGGGATGACTGTAAATAAATGCTGAGTGGCGAATCCCCTTCGGCGTTAAGAAGGTTCACGTTCACTCCATAACCCATAAGGAAACGAACCATTCTTGGGAAGCATAACGGTTCCTCAAGGTAGAAGTGCAGCAAATTGTTGCCTTTGTCATCCACCTCGGTACACGCGCTCCGACCTTGCTTGTCAAAATGGGCTACAAGCGCTTTTACCAACTTCTTGTTTTCGGAGCGGATGGCACAATGCAAAGTGTTGTTCCCTTGTAAATCGCACTCGAATGCGGATGAAGAATCCAAGCGTAGAAATTGGCGCGCTATCTTCTCATCCCCTTTGAGGCAGGCAATGTGTAACGGCGTTTGTCCTTGCATGTTGCGAATACACGTCCGTGGAGACTTCTTAGCCAACTCTGAAAAAACAGCGATAGAATCATGTTGGTCGATAGTAATAAGGTGCATTGGGGTCTCTTGATTGAGATTTCCCAAGTTAACGTCGATGTCGGGGTGCGTCACGATGGAACTAAGAACCTTCATTCGCTCTTCAGAGATTCTATCATATATTTCGGCGACTTCTTCGCTTTCATGGTCGTCAATTAAGTCCTTCAGGCACTCAATCTTCCATCTATTGTCAGACCACGCATCTTGTATTCTGGGGATGCTACCACACACAAAGTCTAAAGGACTTGATGGGGGCGTCCTGTCCAGATCCAACACAGCCTTGCGAAGAGTGAGATGCAATGGGGTATCCCCATATTGGCAGCGCGCATTCACATCTGCACCTTCGGAGAGAAGAAACTTGGTCATAGTTGAACTTCCTGCAAGTGCAGCGAAATGCAACGGGGTCAGGCCCCAAGTGTTATGATCGCAAGAGGGTTTTCCTTGGCTGGCCTTCAATGTACACTCTGTCGTATGGTGATTCCCCATTGGGTAGCCTGCGCAGTTCCTGTGGATCCCAAGATTTATGTCTGCTCCATTCTGAAGTAGCAATTTGGCGAGCTTTTGGTGACCTTTGGCCACAGCATAATGAAGTGGTGTCATGTTATCCAAGTCGCTTACACCAGGGCCTGGACAATCGTGGTGGGAGAAAAGCAAGGTTATCATCTGGAGTGCATCATCCCTCCCACCTAAGGCAGCCAAGTGCAGAACATTCTGCTTCATGAGGTTTAAAGCCCCAACTTCAGCTCCCATCTCTAATAAGATCTGCGTAGCTTCCACTGCCATGGTCTCCACTGCGTTTAGGAGAGGTGTCTGACCTCTGTTATCCGCAAGCTCCAGGTTTGCACCATTGTCACCAATAACTCGAAGCAAACGTGCCTCCCCTTTATTGATAGCATGATGGATCGCACCTTTTCCTTCTTTATCTACCAAGTTGAGGCTGGAACCGTGTTGCAGGAGGAGTTCGACTGTGCTGATTTGCTCGTTCCGGGTAGCCCAGTGCAATGCAGTCTGTCCGTCATCGTCTATATCATCAATAACAGATTTGTCCGTCAAAAGATCCAAAATGCACTCGTCAAGCCCAAACCACGCAGCGGAATGCAAAGCCGAAAACTTGCTCAAGATTGTGTTCTTATATATTGGGAAAAGTCGATCTCCCCGCAGAACCTGAAGAGAGTTCTTGAGTGCGAGGTGATTGTGAAGAAATATTTTGACCACCCCTTCAACACTGGCATATGCCTGTCGCGCATGATAGCCCTAATTTTCAGCGGAGTACGCATATAGTGGATATTGTTTTTGACGAGCTAGGTATTCACGACGCGACTCAGGAGGCTCTGTTTGAAAGCTGTCCAGATAGAGATAGGCGAGACATTTATGGGCAATTTGCGAGTGCGCGTCCGAAAAGTATCTTTCTCGTTTGTCCTCCAAATATTTCTGCGCAGTGTAATGGGCCAATCGAATAACATCGGTTTGCTCATCAACTCTGACCAGACCTGCACACAGGGAAACCAGGTCATCTATATTGGTGAGTTTCCCTTTGCCAAGTTTAGATTCCCCGACGTTGACAGCGATGCCATGCTGCACTTCATGTGGGCTCAATGGCCTGGTTGTACACGCTATCCAGAGCAAGACTTGTTTGGCTTTTCGGACATTTTCATGGGATTGGCTTTTGATCCTTTCCATGGTCTCTGAGTATGCCTCATCTAATCCCGGAGGGAGATTGTTTAGTTGGGCGCGGACCTCATCTGGAGACAGCTTTTCTAAGGAGCCGAGTTGTAGACTGGCAAGGAGAAACCTGGCGTATCGTTAGTTTTCTATAACCGAAAACTGAGGTTCGCTTTGCTCACATCCCATCAGCTGCATTTATGATTGCCGCGAGTATTTCTTCCCGTAGATCTGGTGACTCTTTGACGCAACGGAAATGATTTAAAGAGGTTTCCAAAAATGCTTTAATATCCGTGTCTTTTGCTTCAACCCTAAGACGTGGACAGTTCGGGAACATGTCTGAGATGTCTGGGTTGTCTCTGGAGGTGGCCAGGAAGCCTAAGTTGTGAATATCTTGGAACTCAGAGATGCGAGCGAGTAATTCTTGTTGGTGGATGTGAGGTAATTGGCATTCATCCGAAGCATCTATGACAATAAACACCTTCGAAGATTCCGAAATTGTAGATTCCAGGAGCTCCAAGATCTCCTCCAAGGTAAGATGAGTTTCGTGCTTCCGGTGACTCTCATAGAGAGACTTCAGTCGATATGGTACCATTGCGTCCAGGATAAGTTGCTTAAGGAGGTTGGCGAGTATTTCCTCAATTGTAAATTCCGCACGGTAATTGAAATAGAAGTATGCCAACCGGATCGTACTATCATTCCGTATGCGACGACGGAGTTCGTCAATCACAGTGGATATCATCAGCGTCTTTCCAGTTCCCGGAGCACCCTGACAGAAAAGGGTGTGTCGTTCCCTTTGATTTTGAGCTTGATTGAACCAATTGGAGAATTCATCCGTTTCGAGGAACCATCGCCCGGTACCTTTGTGCCGAAGCTTCAAAGTATCCGCTTGTTTTGCTGCACTATTAATCGGAGAGAGCCACTTCATAAGATCAAGTCGGTCCTTCTCATTGACATGCTGCACGATCTGCTCGACTCCTTTCCGATTGGAAATTGTCAGGTCTTTGGTGTCTTGGATCCCTTGCCTAGTTATAGTTAGAACTATCCAACTCAAACCTCGCCAAGGATCATACCAATTCAGGTGTGCCAATAACAGAGTTAGGTCCTTCACCCTTTGACTAATCTGTTCTCGAAATTCTGTGACTTCTGTTTCGTCCCATAAAAAGCGCTTCCAAACTAGCTGCACTGCGCCGCGGAAATTCTTGGTGCCATCAAATTCCGCGTAATAGTCCAGTTTCTTTCGAATCTCCCCCAGGAGAAGTTGGCATCTTTTTGTAATGTCACTGAGAGTACCTTTTTGCTGTTCACTCAAATGATGATCATGATGCTCCGCTGTTATAGATTGGAACATATTTGATAATGTTTCGACTCTGTTCTGGCGTAAGTCTAATATCGCACTGGGACTAGGTGGATATCTCACTCCTCAGAAATGATCCTATACTGCGACGGCGCATATTTGAATCGTTTCCGCAGATCGTTCGCAAGCCTGATGCAGGTATAAATATCACCGGGACTATAACCAATCTGCATGTTATTGACAAAAGTACTTCAAGACCAATGGAATACTATAGAGATTTGTGAGTTTCGCACATAATGAGGTTATCCATGTTATCCATGCCCTCTTATATCTCCACTGGCAAGGAAGCAGCTTGTAGCGCCGAGGCTTTCATGGCGCGAGAGTACTTCCAGCCTAATTCTATTGAGGCTAGATCGGGATACATTTCGTCACTCTAGCCAGTTAACGCTATCTGTTTGGCGCCCAAGTCAGAGGTTGGGAGGCAAAGCGCTTAGCCAGACGATGCCATTGTACTAAAATTAGCTATTCTAAGTAAGTTTATTTCCTTTCAAAAAGAAAATTAACAAAATCTATATACGGAAATATACCATGTTAATCCAACGGTGCGCTATCCAGCTGGCGAGAAACTTGATGGCTATGACGGGAGTAGACCCACCCGTACCGCCCTGCTCTCTTTCGTCGACGAATGCTACCCGACCCAACGCACGGCCCAACTCTCCCTGGGAGTTGGGCCGTGCGTTGGGCCGAGTACCTGCTGACACAGTCACGCACGGGCCACAACTGGTTGTCCACCTACCGCAAGAACATTGGCTATTCCGACGACAATCAGTGCGTCTGCGGCGCGCAAGAAACCGTCACGCATGCTCTGGTGGACTGTCCAAGGCTAGTGGATTTGCGGAGGAAACTCAGAACAGAAGTGGGGGACGCGTTCAATAGCGTATCGAGCCTGCTGGGAGGCTCAAAACAAGGTGAGAAAGGTAAACCAGACACCGTCTCGCGAGCCAGGACGGTCCAGGCCGTGCTGGACTTCGCTGAGGCGTCACACCGGTTTCGCAGTCGCGCGCCACGGGGGCAGCCTAACAATGGGAACGGCAATTAGGCCACGAGAGGCCTTGACGAGGCTCTAAGTTCGGCTTCAGGAAGTGGATCACTCTACATGTACATACAGAGATATATATCGTTGTGGTAGCCTGCATATCGCTTTTCAAGTTGGACCTTGGATTAAGGTACAAGTGTGATGATATTCTCTATAGAAGATCTAGTTATTTGTAGTTCCAGCAGCTCATCTCCCTGCTGCCTAGCGTAGTGTCTGCCTAATAGGCAGCCACTCCTACAGATCTATACATATCACGTGACCTGGGATTCAACTTTTCATTGCGAGGGGTCAGGGTAAATGAAACACACACACACACACTCCTGTACCACACGAGTCAAGTTTCCGCGTTCATGAAATTGAAGGACTGTACTCCTTCCACGCATTGAGGCGAGTGATTGTCATGATAGGATTTGCCTGTGGCATGGCGAATCATTTCAGAGGGCCGTTTGTCAGGCAGCAGGGGATTCGTCAATTTGTGGGGCATCAAGGCACCTCAGACGCCTGCGCGTGTTGCATCGCGTCCCGCACCACATCCTAACTTTACACAACAGTCACGTGCCGTGATATCGGACCGTGAATAGTCCGCAATTTTGGCAACCAATTAAAATCGACTTCAGCATGTCTCCCTCCACCACGTTAAAAGGGGTAAATGGCCACGATGCATCCGGAGTAACCATTACCCGTCTCCCTTCTCCGACAATGGACCTCCTCGCGATTCGTTCCACCGCGAGATCATGTATCCATTTCTGTCCCTCTCCCTTACTGCAACTTGAATGAGCATATAGTCCCCCGCTCAGCATCCGATATCCCGTATTCTAAATGAGATTCCTAGAACAATAGTGGCTTTGCGACTTAATGATTGACTTTGAGTGGCTGGCTCTACACTTCTCGAGATAAGCTGTGGCATCGAGTCCAGGCTGGACAGCTTCCTAGCTCACTAAATTGCTAACAACTCACACAAAAGATGGTCTTAGTAGAGCCTCGGAAGATGCAGCTCGTACACTGACCAGTATGGCGAACCTGGCATCGACGTTTGGAATCGGGAAAAAAAAAAAGTCCCTTGAACACCTCGACACTGTACTATGTAAAACCGAGACTTTGCTGCAGTGGAAATTCGAGGGACTGAATTCGAAGGACCGAATGTTGATGTACAAATTGTAGCTCTGACTAGTTAGTTTTCATAGACGGAATATTTTCCTTATATATATTGTGCTGGTCGGGTCTCTGCAATCTCGCGTTCCGGAAGATGGACCACACGAAACGGCTTGGTCTTCTTGCTTAGGAAAGTCGTTAATTGAAGTAGAGTGGCTACGAAACAGAAAGATGAATGCTGATCATCGTGTCGTTTAGCATGGGTGACTTGCAAAGAAAACCTCTGCACATTGAGAGGTTCCCATTCACCGCCCGGCTATTCAAGGCCCCCCCCCAGTTTTGTCCAAGACTGGCTACCCTAGACGCCGCCTTCGTCAAGTTTCTGCCGAACCCACTTTTTGTGATTGGCACTCTGCCCTCTAACCGCCGAATCATCACTTTGCCAAGATTGTCTATCATTCACCAAGGTTTCTCCGGACAGCCGAGTGGCCTGCTCAGGAACAACATGTGCAACGGGCATGGCAGTCAGTGTCGAACCGGGCTCAAACACTCTGCCAGTATTGGAGCGTTCTCTTGGCGCTACAATCGTTTCGGATGTGTCATGGACGAAAGGGTCACCGTCTGCCCACCACTCACGGGAGGGTTCCAGCTCCAGGTCAATCAATCGACAATCACCACTCGTTCTGGAATGAACGATGCGGCGTACTGCTGCGCGTGTCGCCTTGCTTGCGCACACTAATACCAGTTAGCTTGGCAAAGCCCAAGTGGGTAAACGGGGGAGCGCTCATACCCGAAACCGCGGTCGTTCCGCCTCTACCGTCGTCCCTTAGTCGTGCCAGCTCCTTGTCGATATTGATGGCGTGGAAATGGTATTTCAAGCGCGTACGGTTGCGATAACGAATTCGGTCCACGAGCTGGGTATCTAGGATATGTGTGGTGAACTGCAGGATCTGCCACCGAGTTAAGGCCGACCTGCAATAGGGGAATGGAAAATTTACTCACATCGAATCCCCGGTCATCACGGTGTCTATGCTCGGGACAATCGTTTCGGTCAAACATACGGTCGAGTTCGAGGATTTGCGAGATTTCATCCCCCACCCAAGGGGAATGGTCTATTCCGGTAAGCACATGACGCCGCAAAGCATCCGAAAAGGGAGGGGGGACTCACTGAAATTCTTCAGTCTAATTTGCCACAGGACTTCTAGCCGTCGCACCGTATTCTTCCGGCTTCGACTTTCTTGAACGAGATGTCGTATGAACGGCAACGCGCGGAAGAGTCCAATATCTTCATGTACAAAGACAACGGTCCCGTACTGGCCAAGGCTTGGTGGATGCCCATACGGACCCAGCACGCAGACCGGGAATTGAATCGTCGACGACGTCACATGATCTGCAGCTTGTGCGATCCTTCCAGTCACGCCCGGTCGGGATCGGGTCACTATGCGTAACATGCGAGTGGTGGGTGCTCCTGGCGTATTGTGCACTGTGTCCACGGATGCCACGTAGAATGCTGGAAGCTGCAAGGAGGACCTCAATCCTAAGCGTGGCATCCAGAGCTGTACATACTGCCCCGGTTGAGCCACCCACTCCATGGGAACCGCAATGTCAAGCCATAAGAGCCGGTTGAAAGACCGCGCGAGCGCCCGTCGAGAGGTAATACGCCACGACCTGTGGAACCACATGGTATGCAGACATGTCCCAGCACTCCAGCCCAATCCGGTGCAAATACCGCCCAGTAGAACCCAGCGGTAGGCCGATGCGCGATCGATTAAATGGTAGGCAAGGGCGCCGGTGGCGACGGAAGCAAGCACATGGTGGACCTTGAGGCCGAGTTGGGGCCAACGTCGAAGAATCGCAGCGAGCGTCCAAGGCAGGATCGACAGGAGACTACAACCAGCCTGTTCAACATTAGCCAATTTTCTAGCTGGCATATCGCAAAAAGAATTGGGGGTGCTGCCGTTCTCTGGCTCGCTTCACGCACCACGAGCGGAATGACGAGGGGAGCTGCAAGTCTTGTATGCCGAGCGACTGTGCCTAAGACGGACCCATGAAGCAGGCAGTGCAATGCGCAAATGCGGCCTAGCCACCGATGGGCCCATTGCACCGTGCCCCGTTCCACGCGGTAGACATGGGCCGGGAGACTGAAGCTAAATCCGGAGTAGAGGGGAACAAGATGTGTGACCGCCAAGCATCCAGCTCGCTTCTGCACTTCCGCCCATGATCGAACATGAACACTGACTGCAATGATGTTGGCAATTACCAGGGCCGCAACTATCCCCCCTTGCAAGTATGATGGGATATCCAGCCACTGGAGCGGGCCTGGTGTTGGCGCTTGGAAGAAACGTCTCCAGGATATCGCGTGCTGCAACCTCAAAAGCCCGTGGCTGTATCGGCGCCCGAGGCTATAAGACAGCCAGCATACGAGAGCGAGAAGCCCACAGAGACTGAATATATCTTGGACGGAAGCTCTCGCAAGCCATTCGGCAAACTTTGAGGTGAGGCGGGGCATGCTTTTACGAGAGGCAGCACTGGACGTTAGCAGGTTTATATACTGTTTTTTCAGTGGTTGTTCAAACAACGCTGACCTAGTGCTTTCATTTGGACAGTCAAACGCAGCTTGGGGGGGATCATGCGGCAATACTCGACACTGGTGAGAAACGATCAGAAGGCTCATATTATGGCTTCTTAGGATCAGGCGACAGATCAACAGTAGTGACACACCATATGTCGATGGCAAAAGGTACGTACCGCAAAATTCATATTCAACGTTGAACCACAATTCTGCGGCTCCCATGTGCCTACAATATAATGCGGTTACCAATTATCCGTCATTCCAGTTCCAAAAATCGAAGTCGGTCAATATGCTGAGATGCGAGGTCGTTTTTCTGATTAGGTGGTGCTGTCTTTCTTACGAATACCAGGGGAGGCGCCTGCTGCCAGCAACGGTGAGGAAAGCGCAAAATAGTACGTATGCAGGATCGAGCAGGATATTGATTCTATATTTTCTAGTCTCTTTCCGGCCGAGCAACTCAAACAAACCAGTTG